TTTTTTTTTTGTTTGTTTGTTTTGTTTTAATTTAAAGCTGCCAGTCTTTGGCTAGGAGGGTGAAGAAAATGTGGCCATCTTGAAATTTCACCATCTTTGTTTTTCTAGTCATGGCCCTTCTATCTGTCTGTTAATCAGAGTGTGATGGCTAAAGAAAATCCATTTTATGCTACTATCCATCTTGCTACTCACTAGCAGATTGTCTCTGACTCTAGTCCCAGGAAGATAAATTCCCATAAACACTGAATCAGTTATCATCACCCAAATATGTACAGCTGTGACTCTGTACTTGTTATAAGATAATTAAGTGTTTTTTTTTTATTTTTTGTTGTTGTTTTGTTTTGTTTGTTTTTTGTTTTTTTGGCTTCGGTAACTTAGTTATACAGACACCCAAAGACTGTTTAGGGTTGACTGAACCACTTAAACATGGCAGAACAAACCAATTTTTGCTTGTTTCTATAGATACTGAAGATCTTGTGGTTTTACTCTTTAAAATCCCTTTCCTATAACTCTCTGTCATGACAAGCCTGAGATTTGGTTTTAAGACTGTTGTCCTGCTGTTAGGGTCCGGAATATGCTGAAAGAACAACCTCAGACTCAAGTAGCACGCAAGCCACAAACGGTGTTCATTCTGCAGAAGTCCAGCGTGCGGTGACCCTGAAGGGAGCTCAAAGGTCTCCTTTGAAGCCGGAAAGGGGAATTCCTACTGTGGCTGTGACCTGGATTGGCATTGGCTGGTGCCCATGGAGGCTACGTGACTCTGGTCAGGACTTCAGCACTTTTCAACTGGTAGTTAAGCAACCTTATCTTCCCCAGGCCAGGTATCTTGGCTGTTTCTGATTCGTTCATTGCTTTTTCTGTGTTTTTTGTTTGTTTGTTTGTTTGTTTGTTTGTTTGTTTGTTTTCGTGTAACTCTTAGGCCTATTCTGTCTAGCAAGAAAATGAAGCCTGTCATGGAATTGGTCAGGCTTATTTAGCCAGGCTCTCTCATTGCTAGCATCTAATCAATAAATCCTTTAATTATAATTGGTTTCCCAGGGGACAGAAACTGCATAACAAGAAGTCAGTCTGATCTTTACTGCTTGAACTCTATCTTCTATTTATGATGTTTGTATATGACATGTGTATGATGTTAGACCAGGATTGATGGGACAACGTGAAATATAAGAAGGCAGGCATCTCCACAACTGTCCATTAATCAGACAACTGAAAGACACCCTTCTCCCCTCGGGTGTGGAGACTGTGCATATGGTGTGGAGAGCCGTGGGATGAAGCTACAGACAAAGCCAGCCTGAGAGACAGAGCCAGGTGCTCTAGGTAACCCGGAAGCCTCCCCCACCTGGACACAAATGGTCTTGCTAAAGCAACACACCTGTGGCCAAGCTGGACGAGCTGGCTGGATCACCAGGACTCACACTGTAGTGTGGAGAGCTGCTTGTTAAGCTGCTTAGTTATGTTTTCATCTGGGGAAGTAGTTTTTGAAACGAAGACGTTTCCACACCTTTTTTGTTTTCACTTTGCCTATAAATAATGAACCCTGGAATAAACCCGCACGGCTTCAGTCAGACTGACAGCCCTCTCAAGCCGACCCCGTGTGAAGTGTGATTTGTCCTCACTGCCCACTCAGGTACAGTTTGACTCTGCCGGCAGGCTCCAGCAATATGGTGCACCCCAAGATCCACGTGCCCCTGGGAATTCAGGAGTCACCACAGCTGGGCCAAGAGTAATTCTTATTCAAACCACCACACCTTGCTTCTCATCTTGAAGTTTCATGGAGTAGAAAGGGGTGAGATGGAAGATCCCATCTTCAGGTCACTTACCTTCACATCTCAAGGTGGTAGATACTAGCAAGGGTGGCAGAAGGTTCCGTAGGAGTTATCAGTCAAGCCAACTTTCTTGTCCAGAGTTTCTCAGTCTATCTGAGACTTTTAGGTTCTCTCTCTATCTCTCTTTTTAAGGCTGGTGCTGGGGGCCAGGGAGTAAGATGGTGGTTGAAATGGTTTGTACACAGTCCTGGCTTTCCTGGAACTCACTCTGTAGATCAGGATGGCCTTAAACTCACAGAGATCCACCTGCCCCTGGGAATTCAGGTTCCATCACAGCCAGGCCCAAGGGGATTCAAACTACCACACCCTGCTTCTCTTCTTCATTATCCCCTTCATTATGCTGAGATTGCCTACCCTGGGGTTTTTCTGTTAAACTCTAATCAAATTATTCTTCAGTTTCAGTTTGCATCCATTCTTTATATTCTTTTCTTCATGAGACTAAGAACCCTGAGAGGGGAGCCCAGTGTCAGTGATGGACTGAAATCTGAGATTACAAGCTAAAAAAGAAACCTCCCTGCCTTAGATGGTTTCAGTCATATATCTAGGCATGGGCTGCCTTGAACATTCCTACCCATATTTGTGGTCAAGCACTTGTTTTCATTGTGTTGTGTTTATACCCAGTAAACCTTCAGAATAAAGTGAGAAATCTGTTTCACTCTCCAAGAACTGACAAGCTGATTTCTACATCAGCTGCAAAAATCTGCAATCTCTCTAAAAGGTAAGAGGGTCCTGTTTATTCAACATTTACCCCAATCAACACTGGTTGCTTCTTTCTGGATGCTGAACTTTCTGCTGGGTATAAACTGGCCTTTCATCATGGTTTACTCTGTATTCTCCCAATTCTTAATACTACTGAACATCTTTGCAGGTACTCTGTAACCAATGAAATGATGCCTTTATTTTTTTTAAGATCTATATTTATTGTGCAACAGTGTTTTACCTCTATGTATGTCTATATGAGCATGGCATATTCTCTGGAGCTGGAGTTACAGTTGTGAAGGGAGAATTGAACCTGGGTCCTAAGGAAGAGCATCCAGGGCTCTTAACCATTGAGCCATTTCTCAACCCCAAAATAATTTCTTTAAATGGTATATTATATGTATGTCACATTATTAGAGGTGAATAAAACTACACATAAAACTATTATTATAGGGGCTGGACAGATGGCTGAACAGATAAGAACACTAGCTGTTCTTCCAAGGACCCAGGTTCAATTCCCAGCACCCAAGTTCCAGTACTCCTGACACCTGGCCTCTGTGGCCACTGCACACATGTGTACAGACATACATGCAGAAAACTCCCATACAAAGCAATAGCAGGATGTTTTAAAATATTGTTATAATAAAAACAGTAGAGATGTATCTGAGAGAATATTAACAATGATTACTTTCCCATATTTGATTCACGTGTGCTGCATTTCTATTCTTCCTTCTTTCATGGGAGTATATTCGTATAAGAAAGTACTCGATAAGACTAGGGGCAAAACAACAAATGTGACTTTCAGAAAAGAAAAACAACCTCCTTCCTCTTCCTCTCTGTTTGGCTTTTCCAGGGTTTCTCTGTGTACCTCTGGCTCTCCTGGAACTCTCTCTGTAGAACCAGGCTGGCCTCAAACTCAGAGATCCACCTGCCTCTGCCTCCTGAGTGCTGGGATTAAAGGTGAGAGCCACCACTGGGCACTTCTCCTTTTGAGTCCAGTAGTTAGACCCTATCAAGCCATCAGGATGGGCTCCCAGCCCTGAAGGCTTCTTTCATTAACAACCCCTTGCCTACCAGTTGATTCTTAGAAAACCGCAGAGGCGATCAGTTGCTGTTAGCAGTTCATGGCTCTTTCCCAGAGTCCCTCCTCCCTTCCGCTAAGTGAACAATGGGTGCTGATAGGAAGCTCCTGGCCACATCCCCTAAAGTCAGCCTCACTTTCCCACATTCTTTTAAAACCGCTAAGCAGGGCCCAGACAGCTGCAACTCACTCTTGGGACTCCTTTGTTTACGGATTTTATTCATGGGACTTAAGATGAACCAGTTTAGCCTGGTGACTGTTGATTGCTTACCACTAGGCACCTACACCGAGCGCACTTGAATTTCTGCAACAGACCCCTTTGCACTCAGGGAGGTCATATGCATCTCATTTAAGATGTGCTTATATTTTAAATTATGTTTGTATCTGTGGGGTGTGTGTGTGTGTGTGTGTGTGTGTGTGAGAGAGAGAGAGAGAGAGAGAGAGAGAGAGAGAGAGAGAGAACACAGTTGCTCACCAAAGCCAGAAAAGGGTCTCAGATCCCCTGGAGCTGGAGTTAAAGCTCATAGAGCAGCAAGTGCTCTGTATCACCGTCTTCCCAGGCAAAGCATCTCACCTTTATTCCTCTGTTTGCATTGTTTTGTTTTTAAATTCAGGGGCATTGGGGTGAAAGCGTGGAACACAGGTGCTCAGGAAGGGCTTTCACCTACATTTCTAGCCCTGGCACTAAGCCCCTGTCCACAGCGCAAAGGAGTGTCTTCCAACAACCCCAGTCCCCACCACCCTCAGTCCCTTCCTCTCTTTCTTATTAGGGAAACCTATAAGTTATCATTAAAAAAAAAATCATAACACCCTGGATGAGCCCAGCACAGTGCCCCGCAGAGCTGAAAGGCCGAGGCAGAGCTTACTTTAAGGCCAGGAGCTTGAGACTACTTGTGGTGATATAATGAGACCCTAACTTCAAAAGAGACAATAAAATGCCAGGCTTAAGGTGTAATAAGCACAGAAAAATAACTTCGAGGTGAGAGAAGAGAGGTCTACTGGGTTATTAGAATGGTCAAAGTAATGGAAATAGGGCTGAAATAAGAGGTTTGCTGCGAGAACCGGAGCGCAGACTTGCCCTTCATCCTGGTCTTTCTTTTGCTCACTTTTGCTTCCTATTGTCCAGAGAGCAGTCCAGTTTGGCTGGAGGAGAACGTACCGTGACCACGGTCAGTTAAAGGAAGTCAAGTGTATTTGGCTCAGACACTAACCCGGCCTCCCTCACCCACGCTACAAATCCACAGCGCCCCCCTGCTTGGCTCTCGGAAACGTTCGGGTGTTGGTGACAGCTCTGTTTATTCTGGGATCCACAGAGGTAGGTGGGCGAGGGGATCCCAGGCCAGGCGTGGGGTCACTGCGCGCTCAGTGGCTCCACCCGCAGCCACAGCCCGCCCTCTGCGCGCAGGATCAGCTCCGGCTGTCTCCGCGGCTCCTTGTCGTCCGGCAGGACGCGGAAGCGCAGCAGCGTCAGCGCCAGCGCCACCTTCATCTCGCTCATGGCGAAAGTCTGTCCTATGCAGTTCCTGCGGGGGGGGGGGGGGGGGACAGGATAAGGATTCCGACTGCGCAGGAACCCAGCCAGGTAGGAACTCAACCTGATAAGGTCCCTGCCGTGCCTGGTCAGCATGAGGAGCAGGAGGAACCTTAACGCTCCCGGGACCCCGCTTGGACTTCTGCATCACCGCAGGTCTTGTAGACCAGGGCGGGACTCTGAGCACAGACCAGCAGCCCTTCTCCTTTTAACCGCTATCTTACAGACCTTTGCAAAGAACCTGAAGGAAACCCAGAACCCGACCATCCTAACTCCCCGCTATTCCCACGGTCAGCCCCAAAACCCACGCTATTCACCCAAACCCGCTGGCCTCACCTGGGCCCCGCTGAGAAGGGAATAAATGCCAGAGGTGACCTGTCTTTGATGTTTTCAGGGTCAAAGCGGAAGGGGTCATAGACCTGCAGGAGACATTGAACCAAGGCCGAGGAGTGACTTCCCAGTACAACAGGGGACAGAGTCCTGCGTGTTGTGGGGAAGGTGGGGTCTGATTTCCTAGGTCAAAGCCCCACCTCCTCCCTTAGGACCCCTATGCCACTCCAGGGGGTAAGGCAGTCAGCACCTCAGGATCCGGCCACACAGATGGGTTGTGATGAATTCCAAAGATGCTGATGAGGCAGATGACACCTGTGGGAGAAAAGGGGGTTTTCACCACAAGACTCTGCTGCCTACCCCAGACCCTCTTCCCCTGGTCCTATGGCACCTTTGGGGATGACACGGCCATGTGGGAGCAGAATGTCTTCGGTGCAAACACGGGCGATGACGGTGACTGGGGGGTGCAGCCGCAGACTCTCCTTGATGCACATGGTGAGGAAGGGCAGCTGGGCCAGGTCGTCCCTAAGGAAACCCCTTGAACTATTACCCAGGAAGCAAAAGAGAGGCTGGCAGTCTATGTGGATCAGTGAAATGCTTTCTAACAGTGATAACATGAGCCCTAGGTAAATGAAATGTGTGGGACCTGGAACAGTGAAAATTAGAAAGTATTCTAAGTTAGGACTGATCTCCTGTCTAGTTGGGACTTCTGATTAGTCCTTGGCCTGGGCCCTCCCAGGTCTCTGGAATCACAGTGGAGCTGGACACAAAACTGGGGTAAGAAGGCCATTGTAGGAGGGTTTTCTGAGGGAAGGATCGATGGATGAATGACCCGGGGGCTCTGGGCACCACATAACTATTTACTTTATATTTTATTTTATTTATTTCATTTCATTATATGAGACAGAGACTCTTCATGTAGCCCTGGCTGTCTTGGAGCTTGCTATGTAGAACAGGCCAGTCTCAAACTCAGAGGTCCTCCTGCCTCTGCCACTCAAGGGCTGGGGTTAAAGAAGTGTGCCCCTACACCCAGACATTTTATTTTATTTTTAATTAGGTTTATGCGCATGTGTGTGGATATGTGGATATGAGGTCAGGGGCTTCAGAACCACCAGATCTGAGTTACTGACGGTTGTGAGCTAACAGGTATGGATGCTGAGAACCAAACTGTGCAAGAGCAGGAGGTGCCCCTAACAGCTGAACCATCTCTCTAGCTCCAGCATACTGTAATGCCCAAATATCACCAGTGAGCCCCTGAACATCTCACCACAGTAAGATCTAGGGTACAGGAGAACAACAAACCATCATGGAAGAAAACATCTATTGGAGGGAAGTGCTTATACTGAGCACGTGTAAAATGTTGCTATCTTTCCCTTAATTACCTCTGTTCTCTCAGCAACACAAACTGCTCTGTTCCAAACCCAACAACCCTTTCTTTGCTAGCCAGGCTTGGTATCAAGTCTCTCCCCTGGGCTCAGACTCTGTATCCATGAGCATATGTAGGAGAATCGTAAAAAAAAAAAAAAAAAAAAAAAAAAAGACTCTTCCCTACTTGAGGAGGAAATCCAAACAGAGGGGCTTAGGAATGGTCCAGGAAGACCTGAACTCACCATTCAACCTCCTCAGGTTCGCGGTCCTTCAGGAGCTCCCGAACCTCCTGCCGGCAGCGCTCCTGGTATTCCGGGTGCCTCGCCAAGTTGTACAGGATCCAGGAAAGTCCACTGGCTGTGGTGTCATGGCCTGAGGGAGGGGCAGACAGGCATGGGTCTCTGCACTGCTTCAGCACAGCGGAGAGTGCCCAGGTAGTGAAATCCAGGAAAGGGAACAAAGGATAGAACAGAAGGATTCCAGGTCCTGCCAGCAAGTTTAAAGATGGAGAAACTCCTGTCCCCTTTCTGGTCCCACAGTGAGACCCTCACCCTCAAACATGAAGGTGTCAGCCTCCGCTCTGATGTCTTCATCTGACAGCTTGTTTCCATCTTCATCCTGCAGACAAAGCAAGACCCCCAAATCACAGCAGTTGTGAAAATTCTTGTGCTTAAACTGTGACATTCTCAGAAGCTTATCTGTTCAGAGATCAAGGGCCATCCCCATATCTTGTCTATTGGTACAGTCTGAATGTCCCTGGCTTTCTGCTGGCTATCCTTGTCTCCTGTGTTGTCCACAATTGGAGGAGTCAGCAATCTACACAAAAAAATGTCACCATGTTTCTGCACAATGAGCGAATTCTGAGAAACTGACAGTGACTTGATATGGAAGATATGGCAACTTGCCTTGGAAATTAGAAGTAAAGTTTTACTCCAAAGACTTTTACCCACATTCTAAAGTGCTAGATCCAGGGAATCTTATCTTATGTCATGTGGAAACATTTGCTTTGCAAACCTTGAGAGATCCTGTTTAACTCCAGAACAAAGTTTCCTGCCTCTCCTCTTTTTTTTCCTCTTCCTGCCCTCTTCCTTTTTTTTTTTTTCTCCTTTCTCCCTCCTTCTCTCTTTTTCAATATTTACCACTGTGGGGGGAATTAGACTCAAGTATACTTGTTATTCTATACAAACCACAAGCCGCTGATGCATTGTGCTTTCTCCGTGGTGTAAACCTCACTGCACATTCAGGTAAACACTTCATCTCCTGGAAGAGAGGGCACTGGAAATGGGAGCCATTGCTACATCCTTTTCTGCTTGTGTCTGCTGCCATGACTGATATGATATGATATGATATGATATGATATGATATGATATGATATGATATGATCATTGACTTGGGGCAGTTGCTAGAATGTGTGTGTCTGTTTGTGTGTGCTTTGTGCACACCTATGCACGCACACACTTTAGAGAGCACATATATAAATGCCATGCGATGATATTTTAACCTGTGAAATGCTCAGGCTCATCAAGGTTTCAGGCTTGGCAGTCTATTGAAGTCTGCATTTCAGAATCGTCTCTAAATTCTGCCATGTCTCTCCCAATCCTAACACTCTACATGTGCCATCTGCACCAAACTCACGTTATTCGACTTGGTATTTGGCATCAATGTCCATCCCGCTTCTTGAGAAGCCCACCTTGGTCAGCAGCAGAACATCAATGAAATCCAGCGTCTTGGACTTGGCCTTGGACGTAAGGAAGGCATCCAAACCCTGATCTGGGAGGGTGCAGCGCCGCTCCTGGATGATGGCGTCAGTGAATTCATGTACCAGCTTGCAGGCCTTACGGAAGCGCACTCCATCAGGGGTGAGATTGTACAGCAGGTCTGCATGCAGCAGAGGCTGCTGGTGCCTTTTGGCCACTAGGGCACTGAGCTCCAAGATGGCAGAAATATATTCACTGGGCTTCCTGCAGGATTTTGGTAAAGGAGGCAGCAATTTAACAGGTGTACGTCTTGGGCCTCTTACCACCATCTGGGAGCCATTGGCAATGGAAACAGTTGGCCAGAGGCAGAGTGGAGTGAGCCCTGAGAGTCAACTTGATCTCACCAAACTCATCACATCTCTGTGACCACATCTTATGTCCCCAAGCCACAGTGTGGACACCTCTCAATACTGACTTGCCATGAAGACACCGGGTAAGTTTGACAGTGGAAACAGTGACACTGGTAGGTGAGCTGAACCCTGGAACCTTTGGAAAAGAATGAGGTCCAAGCTGGAGGGACAGTTTAACAAGGAGGTAAGGCAGTCTGGACCCTCAGAGGAGCTCAGCTTTGATCATGTCCCCTGTCTACCACCAGCTCTGCTATAATGTAGAGCTAGCTCCCAAAAGAGTGTTGGGGGAGGGGGCGTCTCTTTGTGCATCCTTGGCCGGCTGGTCTGGAACTTGCTTTGTAAATGAGGACGGCTTCAAACTCCTAGAGCTCTGCCGGCCTCTGCCTCCCAAGTGCTGGGATCAAAGGTGTGCACCATGCCTGCCCAGTGTTTGTGTGACTATGTTTGTATGTATTCTTAAGCTTTATTTATTTGTTTGTTTGTTTTGCTGGGCATGGTGGTACATACTTTTGATCCCAGGACCCTGGAGGCAGAGGCAGGTAGATCTCTGTGAGTTTTAGGGCAGCCAAGGCTACATAGTGAAACCTTTCTCAATTTTTAAAAATGAATTTGTATTGTATGCGTTTTGCCTGGTGGTGTATGCATGCTGTATGTGTTCCCAGTGCCCTCGCAGGACAAAAGGGTATGGCGGGTCTCCTGTGACTGGAGTCACAGATAGTTGTAAACTTCCATGAGGGTGCTAGCAATCAAGCCCTGGTCTTTGGCAAGTGCCATCTCTTTAGTTCCCTATAGGATGTAGAAGGCTGTAGAACTTCAAGATGTTTGGTCTAGGGAGAAATTTAGGATATGCTCTTGATAGCGAGAGTTTATCTGTCTGCCTCTTTGTCTCTCTGTTTCTGGATGCCATAAGGCATCAGACTCTTATTTTTTTTTTTTCTTTCTGGTTTTTCAAGAGAAGGTTCCTCTGGGTAGCCTTGGCTATCCTGAACTCACTTTGTAGACCAGGCTGGCCTTGAACTCACAGTAATCCTCCTTCCTTTGCCTAAGTTTTGGGATTACAGGCATGCACCACTGTGCTTGGGTGACGCATTTGACTCTTTTAACGAGTGTTTCTAGCTGTGCTGTGCTTTTATAACAGGCTCAAGAATAATGAAGCCAACTAACCGTCAACTAACGTTTCCAAAGCCTTGAGCCAGAACGTTTTTCATGTTTCTTTTTTCCTTCCTTGCTTTCCTTCCTTTCCTCCCTTCCTCCCTCCCTTCCTTCCTCCCTCCCTTCCTTCTTTCTTTCTTCCGTTCTTTTTGTCTTTTTTGAGATAGGGTTTCTCCCTATATCCTTGGCTGTCCTAGACTTACTCTGTAGACCAGGCTGGTCTTGAACTCACAGAAATCCACCTCCCTCTGCCTCCCAAAGTGCTGGGATTACAGGTGTGCAGCACCGTGCCCAGCTGCCTTCCCTCATTTCAAGCTCTCTCAAGTTCTTTGTCACATTGTTGAAAATATAACTAACATAAGCACAAACACCTTGATAGTTTCCCTGGAAGTGTAACTTTACCTGGCCTTATTCTGGCCGTATGCTGGCCTTATGAGCTAGCCACTGCTGATCTCTTGAGTTTTATTTCCAACATGCCTTCCCACTGCCTGTCCCACAAGTTCCTCTTGTCACCATCTTTGTGGCTTTATTGAAACAATTCTACCTCCTGGAAGGATGGCTCACTTTCTTTCCCAGGACTTTCAGTGTTGGTTCTGAACCATGTCCACTAGGGAGGCCACTCTGCTCCCTCCTTTTGGTTTGTAGCCCAGGCTCTGAGGCCCAGAGTAAGGGACTCACTCCTGACAGTTGCTGTCAAAGCTGAAGACACATTTCTGCAGACTGTCCAGAGTCATGAGGCTGACATGTTCAAACATGTCCAGACGGGTGCTGCCTTCTGAGATCAAGCGCTGCCACTTGGCCTGGCAGAAGGAGAGAGGCTGGTATTGGACCGTGGCTCCTTGAGACCCTACCTAAACTCAGCTCCTGATCCAGAAGCAGTTTCCTCATCTTATTCTCCACCCAACCTCAGGAAGAGTCAGGGTTTGGGAATGAGGAGTTGTGACCCAGGGTTTCAGGGACTCACATGCATGATGTTGGTGCTGTCATTGAAAATCTTCACGTAGGGCTTCAGGATGTTGAAGTGGAAGGCGGGTGTCAGCATGCGACGGTGCCGGCTCCACTTGTCACCAGCACTCACCAGGAGCCCATCCCCTGGGAGGGCAGCCAGAGTGCCAGGTAAGAATAGAACCATTCCCTGACCCCTAAAGCTGTCCCCTCGCCCATCACCTGTAAGTACTCACCTAGCCAAGGTTTCAGGATGCTGTAGAATATCACATCCTTGAGTGCAATGGCAGCTGGCATGAACAAGGACAGCCAGGGGTCATGGTATGAGTGAGGACAGACCAGGAAGGTGGGTGGGAATCCCTCCCAGGAGTCCGCATTTCCCCCTCCAAAGTCCACATGCCAAGAAAAGACCCAAGGACAGAGGAAGCAAAATGAAGTAGAAAGTGAGAGAAGGTCAGGCTAGGCGGCGGCGGCGGCGGCGGCGGCGGCAGCAGCAGCAGGTAAAGGCGTGGCTTAACTTGCTACCTTATGCTGCAGCGCCACTTCACGTGGCTTCTACAGAGTCTAACAGGTAGTCTCTGCTGTATCTGAGCCCATTACAATACCCTGTGACATTTGTTGGAACCTATGTCCATTGTCTAGGCATCCTAGGTATCTGGCATCTCCTGAACAGGTGTGGGACATCACATGAACACATAAGGGTTAACATGACATGGCATGGCCTTAGCACACGTAACTACCCTGACATGACACCTCATGCTGTAACATGGACCAGAGATTATCTGACAGGCCTCTGTGTATGCCTCAGACGAGCCTCTGACAAGATTTGAGAATGGTCATGTGTGGTGGTCTGAATGAGAGTGTCTCCTATAGGCTGATGTCTCCGAACCCTTGTCCCCAGCTGGTGGCACTGTTTGGCAAGGTTTAGTAGGCACTGCTTTGCTAAAGGAAGTACCTCACTTGGAGCAGGTTTTGAGAGTTCATAGACTCTCCCTACTTGTAGATTGCTCTTTCTGTTGCGTGTTTATGGTAGAGTATGTGATCTCTCAGCTTTCTACTCTTATCACCATGTGGAAACCATAACCCACATAAACTCTTCCTTATGAGATCCCTTGATCACAGTAATTTATCACAGCAACATACATGTAACTAAGGCATGGTGATTGTTGTGATTTCCAACACTCAATGGATTAAAGCAAGAGAATCCAGACTTTGGGGCTAGCCTAGACTGAGTAGCCAAACAGTATCTCCAAAAAAGCAAAAGCTCTAGTAATATACCAGATATGGCCCACATTGTGACCCACTGATCTCACCTGGATGTTCTTAAGTCTTGTCTTGGATACAACCCACATATCTGTCATTTCTCAGAAGAACCCTAGGTCCCAGGCCTCATATAGTCCCAAAGAGATCCCAGATATGAAAAGCAAGGCCATCTCCAATACCTTCTCAGATAAAACCTGCCATGCTAAGTAAGGACATGCCCATCTTCAGGCAATCCCAGGTGAAACAAACACAACCCCCCCCACACACACACATAAAGATGAAAATGTAAAGGTGACTTGCAACAGCTGTGACCCTACAGATAACATCACACAATTATGCTTACAACACAAGCAACACGATCGGATATGAAGCAGGGGATGCCAACGTGAGAAAGATGTGGGAGCATCCACCTGGGGAAAGAGCATGGGCTCAGGAAAGTGGCATGGTCTGGACTGGGGAGATGACCCTGGACAAAAGCACTTGCTGCATGTGAGTCTGAGGATCAAAGCACAAATCCCCAACACCAGATGTAGCCACACATGTAAGATAGGAACCAGACACAAGAGAGTTCTCCGCCGGCTTCTGAAGCTTGAGGTTCAGCTAGCATCCGCATACAAAAGCAAACAACTAGGGACTCTGCCTCAAACAAGGTGGAAGGCAAGGATCAATGAACAAGATGCCCTCTGACCTTCACAGGTATGCCATGGCATACCTAGCTCTGCCTTCACCATTCCTACTCATGCCTGCAGACATTGCTTAAGCAACTCATCCTCCACTCAGCTGTCAGGTGCCCTCTCCCTCTGAGCCATTCCTGACCTCACAAGGTTAGAGAAGTTCCTGTCAAGTTCTAGCTCAACAACTGACTTCCTCTAGGAGAGGACTTTGGTTTTAAGACATCTGAGGCTCCAGAAAAGTCCAGAACACCAAGATATAGTAATAGTATAGGGGAAAGGAGGAGGTGGAGGAGGAGGAGGGAGTCGTGTGGGAGCTGGTGAAAACATGAAGAGAGCCTGACAGGGGAAAAAGGATGGACTGGACCACTGCAGGAGCCAAACAGAAGGGACTGGAAACCCTCAGATTCCCAGGTTCAGCTTCCGTGAGTACCTGAAGCATTGAGGATAGATCGGACGCTGTCACAGTGACACAGGCTGATAATGGGGGTAACGGGGCCCATCCACAGCATAAAGCCTTGGGGATAGGTTCCCACCAATTCAGTCAATTCCTTCATGCCCTGCTCTGTAGGAGGCACCTGCAAACAACACAGGGATCATTACTTCCTGAGGTAGTTCCTAGATGGGACCAAGTTTTCTGGGTCAAGCCCAGGTAGGGGCGCCCACGACCCCTGGGTGTATTCTGTGATGACGTTTCAGAAAGAATTATTATTCACATCCGTCAACAATGTGGACAGCACGTCTAACCCACTGAAGTTCTGGAGAGAATAGGCAGAGCTGGGGAACCCATCTTCTCCTGCTATCACGTATGAAAATTCAGGTCCTTGAAACATTGAACTCCATATTTACTCCCAAGCCCCCATCCCCACCCCTGGGTTCTCACACCGTTGTTCCAAGACTGAGTAAATAACAGCCCATGTTCCTAGTATCTCGTTTGCAGATGAAATACCGAGGTACCCCTCAGTCACCATAAAGACATAAGCCAATTACCATGACGAAATGTACCCCTCTCTCCTCTACCTTACTTTACATATATGTATATATTATAAGTGACTGTGTTTACGTGATAATGTACTGCATAATGGTGTTTTGTTTTGTTTTTTTTTTTTTTTTTTTTTGTCAGACAGACTGCACAGATGACTTTGATCTCTTAAGGCTGCAGTGAAACTAAAGAATTTCTGTGGCCATTGCTTCTTGGCCTTTTGGCTAAGATCATGTGAAGAATTTCGGTTGCCTGTTATTTTTCTATACATTTCTATGTTTAGACACATTCAGATGCATAAATACCATATCACAAATTGCCTACCATGTTCAGGGTAGCACCATGATGCACAGACTTGTGTATCAGAACAGTTGGTACCCTATAGGTGCACAGGAGACTACAACTAGTGCGGTTGTGTCAGAAGACTCTGATGTCAGCACAATGACAAAGCCACTTCTGGATGCACTCCTCAGAATGTCCTCATCACTCCTTGATGTCTAGCTCACTGTGTGTGTGTGTGTGTGTGTGTGTGTGTGTGTGTGTGTGTGTGTGCACACTTTTGGTTCTACTTCTCCAGTCACTTTCCCAGGATCATCAGAAAGTCCCACCTGAAGCCTTTGGAAGTGACACATCCTCTGTCATGAGTGAACCTGTGTCCCAGTTTTGCAGGGATGCTTCTTCCTGTTTTGTTCCTTTCAAGACATGCCCAAGTCCCAAGTGTCCATTCCACACCCAGTGGACAAGTTATATCATCTACCTTTGACCTTTCATGTTCTGTCTGGTCCATAAAGTCTCCAGAGCCTCCCCTGGACAAAGGCCACACACCAGGGACATTTTAGCCTTGGCAGGTTACAGGGAAACAGAAGTGACATTTAAGCCTCCATTAGGGTGGCAGCTCCCACCCACCAGCACCGGCTGCCCACCAGCCTCAGTCAGAGTATCCGAACCTCTGTACACAGCCCGCACTGAGCCATTTGCAAGTGAAACAACTGGGGTTAAGCCACCTAAATGAGAGAGCAGGTGTCAGTCAAAGGCCAAAGTGTCAGGGTAAAGGTTGGGGTCGAGGAAGGTTCGTGGGAGGGCGGTGGACAGCATTTATCCAGGTAGCACATCAGGGCTCACTGTGCTCTATCTTAGGGGAGAAGAGCACGATAAGGAGGAAGTGGCCCAGGGAGGGGCAGTGGGGAGTGAGCCTGCAGCTCTGCTGTATCCCAGCTGTGCCCCACTGTGTGCAGTTAGGGAGAGAGATCAAAAGTCAAAGCTAGAAAACTGGAGGACAGAGTTGGGCTCACAAAGAAACAGTCACAGCCCTTCCGGACCCGCAATTCCCATAGCAGGCATGAGGAAATGTCAGGAGTTCTCACTCTGACGTCCCACCCTGAGAATCCATCAATGTCATTCATTCAGCATGAGGAACATAGTTGGAAATACCAGAGCAGAGCTGGGTGGGAGTACAGGGAAGTGACAAAGACATAGAAGATCCACCAAAGGTCATCATCAGCTAACCCACTCCATCACTCTAAGCCCCATTCCAGGTGTCTCAAAAGTCTTTTCACTCTGACACCCACACCTACCCTGATGCCACACTTACCATGCCCACATGACCCATAAGCCAGTTCCGTTTGGGGGGCTGAGGGAAGCCACGGAGGCGCTGACGGTTCCCATAGGCAGCATAGATCTGGGTCAGAATTCGGGCCAGAATCCAGGAGGCTCCAACCAGGAGCAGGAGTTGCCATGGAGAGGCCACCTCAGGCCCCAGCCAGGACAGGCTCAGCTGTGACATCCTGCTGGTGGATAGATGTACCGTGAGTAATTGAGGTCCAGGAAAGGGACAGGAATCTCCAGAGACCCTGGAAAGAGGACAGAGCAAGAAGGAGGAGTAAGAGTCAGGGAAACACAGAGGAAGAGGCTACAAGAGTTCAGAGGTGAGAAAGGGGAGGAGAAGCATGGTAATGAGGAGGACCAGGGCTAGCAAAACACGAAGGAGGAGAGGAATTGACTGCAGTTAAGACCTCCCTAAATTATGCAAAACTAACCAGTGGTTCAGTTATTCAGAAACCACCATCCACAAGGCCAGCTGGCTCCTTGTGGCATTCTTGCTTTGCCAGCTGGCTGTCTGCCCTGGCCTGGCCTTGGTTGTCCCCTCCCTATTCCAGACTATGTCCCTACAGTATCTACACCAGCCTGGCACCTCCTCTCAGAAACAGCAATCTACCACACCTTCCCTCTCCTGGGACTCTTATGTCCCGGCTCCTGGATGCTGGGAGGGTGGGCTATTCTAAGCCAGCCAGTCCCTGCCAAGCCTGCATGCCTCTTCCTTGCCTGGACAAGTGACCAAGATGGGGGTAGAATGAGCGTGGTGCAGAAGGGTGATCATAGGCTTGCAAAACATGAACACCTGAATCTTAGGACTATCGTGGGACAAGGCTGACCCTGAGTTATGCATTTCCAGAATCCCTGCTCATCCAGGGACATGGTAGAGTAATTCAAAGGGTGAACTTGGGGCTCTACAAGCTAGCAGAGCAGAATCTGGCCACCCTAGTCCCTGACTGCGTCTTGAACTCTTGGCTAATGGGCTGGGAGGACAGCCGGCACTGTTTTTTCAGTGCAATATTAGAAGGCTATGGGATTGGAGAGCCTGCCCCCCAGCTGCTCAGCCTGCTGGCGATCAAGTGCTGTCTTTTCAGCAGAGACAATACTGTCAGGAGCAGAAGTGAAAAGTGACCCCCAATTGGGGTTTCCAGGTCCAACGTTAGGAATCTAGAATATAGCTGAAGCTGGGTGTGGTGGCTCATGCCTTTAATCCCAGCACGCAGGGAGGTAGAGGCAGATGGATTGTTGTGAGTTTGAGGCCAGCCTGGTCCACAAATGGAGTCCAGGGCAGCCAAAGCTATACAGAGTGTTATGAGTTCAGGAATAGCCGCACACTGACCACTCAGACACCAGACTCAGACTGATGGAAGTTTATTGAATGCTGAACAAAAACTGACTCGTCAGGGACATAATCTGAACTTGGGAACTAGACTATGATGCTGTTCTGTTTCTGAGGAAGGTTTTTTTTTATACAAAAAAACAAAACACCCCCCCCCAAAAAAAAAAAAAACAGTAACCAGGTGTATGTAGAAAGTGAAGCAGGGAGGCATTACATTATTTTGACTAGCTAAACATAATTAATTTTGTCTAAGTATATTGTATTGTATCTAGCTAGCCAGACAAAGCACTTCAAGGTGATTGGCTAGGATTTAGGGTAGGGGAGCTCTTGGGGGCACTAAAGATTTCTGGGAGCAGGAAACATAACAGGATGTTGTGATCTTTAACTCAAACAGAACATGCATTTATCATCTATTGTTTTATTTTAAGCAGCAAGTATTGAACTATTGAATTGTATCCTGGTCTCAGGCACGTAGGCCTGAGAACTTGAACTTAATTTCATCTTATGATTAAAATGGAGTTGTGGAGGCAAAATGGCTTCTGATGTGCTAAAGGCGACAGCAGGTGTTAACAGAGGAGCCACAGTTATGCTAAGAACTTCAGTAGGTCTCAGGGTTTATAGGGTTTAAGCAGGCAACAACAAAAGCAACCCTGTCTGGAGAGATGGCTCAGTGGTTAGAGCAGTGTCTGTTCTTCCAAAGATTCCCAGCACCCACATGGCAGATCACAACTGTCTGAAACACCAGTTCCAAGAGATCTGACACTTTCATGTTAATGCACCTAAAATAAAATTAAATAAATTAAAAAAAAAAAAGCTGGGTGCAGTGATGCATGCTTATAATCCCAGCACTCAGAGAGGCAGAGGCAGGCGGATCTCTGTGAGTTCAAGACAGCCAAGGCTACACAGAGAAACACTGCCTTGAAACAACAACAAAATACAGCTGAGATAGGGATGGTTGGACCTGGAAAGTGCACAGAGTATGGGGGAGGGGGGCGAAAGAGATCCTGAACAGATGAGATCCAGGAGAAAGATAATGCTGTTTCTCCCCTCCTCCCTCTCTCTATGTATGCCAGTTGAAGCCAGAAGAAGACATCTGTTCCCCTATAGCAGAGTCCTATGATATCAGTGCTTGAACTGGTCCTCTAGAAGGGCAGTTTGACTGCTTAGCTATCTCTCTAGCTCCCTTCCTTCCTTTCCTCCTTCTTCTCCTCTCCTCTCCTTCCTTTCTTCTTTTTCTTTTTTCTTTCTTTCCTTCCTTCATTCTTTTTCTTTCTTTCTGATCTTTCTTTCTTCTTTCTTTCCTTCTTTCTCCCTTCCTTCATGTATTTATCTATCTATCTATCTATCTATCTATCTATCTATCTATCTATCTATTTGTTTGTTTATTTATTTATTTATTTTAGGCAAGAGTTTTGCTGTGTAGCTTTGTCTGTCCTGGAACTTTTTCCATAGAGCAGAATGGCCCTGAGCTCACAGAGTTCTGCATGCCGCTGCTTTCTGAATTCTGAGATTAAAGAAGTGCACCCCACCTCCAGCCCACCCCCTTTCTTTTCTTAAATAGGAAAGAGCACTTTCCCAAATAGTGACTTACTTAATATTTACTCTTCTGTATAATCATAATTTGTGTATTTTGTTGTTTGGAGACAGTGTCTAATGCTGTGTTGATATGCTCGGCAAGCACTGTACAAACTGGGCTACAACCTCAGCCTTCTAATTTATAGTTTACAAAAGTTCAGGAGAGGAACAAGGCTCTCCGGGGATAGTGGACAGGAGCAGGGGCTGCTTGGGCTTGGACATAGCAGCAAGGGAAAGAGAGACTCAAGGAAATGCATAGGAAGGGATGAACAAAGGGGAACAGAAGATAGTGAGGAGGAGGAGGAGGAGAAAAATGAAGAGGAAAAGAGGGATGTAGAGGAATTTTAATTCAGAACATGGCTGTTCTGGCAAGAGATCACATCCAAAGGCCCTCTAGGTCTGTGTGATCCAGCTGGCAAGAGATCACATCCAAAGATGTTCTAGGTCTGTTTGATCTGGCTAGAATACAAACACACCTTTAATCCAGGAGACAGAGGCAAGCAGATCTGAGTTAAAGGCCAGCCTGGTATAGAGCAAGTTTCAGGTTAAGAAAAGCTTAGGTCTAGACATTGTGGTATATGGCTTTAATTCCAAGCAATGAAGGGAAAGTTAGTCTGGAAAAGGAAGAGCCCATGTTTGAAAGGGATGTTTAATTGCGTGGCAGAGAAAGTGACAAATCAGAGAAAATTTGACAGAATAGGATATGCCCAACTCTCAGGAGAAGAGAGAGGAAAGGAAAGCCCTTAAAGGGCAATGCAGAGAGGGAGAGGAGGCAGTTTTACCCAGACAGTAATAGAGAGAGAACTCAGGTGAAGACTGAATGAGAAGAAGCCAGGAGATTAGAGCAGATGGCTTGAGTTAGTTTGAGGCCAAGCAAAACAATTCAGAAGCTGAGAGAAAAGCCAGATTGAATAAGTTAGCTAGGAGAGGAGTTTGAGCCAGAACAGCTGAGTTGAACCAGCCAGCCCAGAGCTCAGAAAGAACAAGAAAGAGTGAGCTTATTAAGCAGTAAGTCTCTGAGGCTGAAAGCATTCTAGGCCTAGGTTAGATTGTACAGAAGCTAGATGTTTCTAGGACAAGGCCTAGGTTATCAGAAGGAGGCGGTAAGCCTCTCAGACAACTGAACCAGGAGAAAAAAAAGTTCCTTTTGCAGAGGGAGACTGATCTGGGAAGACATGGAGACTGACTTAAAGTTCAAAGCTTTATAAATCATATTGGGCATGACCAGTGACTCAGTTGTCTAGAAACCCCCATCTCCTGGACCACCCGCTCCCCACAGCTGTATTACCCTTCATGTGTTCCCCACAGCCCTGTCTCTCCCCTTTAGGGATATCTGCTCCTGACTCCTGACCTAGAAGGAGTTATGCAGGGCTGGGTTGGAGTGGACCAGCCAATCACTTTCTGACCTAGCTTCCTTCTCCTGGCCTGGGAAGGTGGCTAACATGTGGGGGGTGGGGATGGCCTTATTTAATAAGGCAACTCAGGGTTGCAAAGCACTTGATCCTTAGAACTTGGGCAGTTCTTTCTGGGATGAGGGGCAAGAGTGGGGATGTGGGCAATGGTTATTCTGAGTCCCAACATGTCCAGCACCTATGCTCTTCTAAGAGCTTGGATAAATCTGGCAAAAGAACTTGGATTTTAGAGGCCAGAAGACAAGGGTAAGCCTGGCCCCAGAGCAGCTTGCAAGGTGGGAGGATGCTGCACAACTCTTCTTGGTATGAAACTAAGGGTCTGTGGTGCTCCTCACAGCCTGGAAGAATTCACGCTCTTCTGTAAGGCTTAGAGTCTAAGCGGACCAGGGCACGAGTGACAGCAGGCAGGAATGAAGACTCCAGCCCGCAGGAGACTGCCCGGGTCAGCTGCCAGAACACAGCTGAGGCTGTGCTGAGCTGCTGGGCGAGGAGTAGAGGGATGAGGGCACATGTGGGGTGGAACTGAAAGGGGCACTGAGGAGCTGGGGTGTCCAGGCAGGGGAGGGCAGAACCAGGAGACACAGAGTGAGTCCACTTTCCAGCCCATCTTTCTGACTGTGGGGATGGCCAGCTCTCTCGAGTGCAGTGGTCACAGCTGGGAAATGAGCTGTCCATTGAGTCTCTGAGGAGGAGAAAGGAGGGTCAAAAAGAGGGAGTGAAGGAAGGGCCTGGCCATTACTACCAGAGCTTCTGTGAGCAAGTACTGTATGCAGAGAGTGTAGGGCGTGTACGGAAAGTACTATGCTGTGCAGTCCTCTCCATAAAATATGCTTACTGTATACTTTGGGGCTGTGGTGCTTAATCTTGGTTGTCAGCTTGACTGGATCTGGAATCAGCTAAGAGACACTCCTCTGTGTGGGCTTATGAGGATATTTCCTGGAAAATGAACTGGAGAGGAAGGCCCTCCATTAGAAGGCCACTTTCTAAGGGCTGCCTAGATAGAAAGAGGTCAGAAGGAAAAACAGGGTTGTTTTTTTTTCTGCCCACCTTTGCTCCTTGCTTTTGAGTGGCTCTATCTGACTCTGCCACTCTTTGCAGAATCCAGATTTGTCGTTCTTCCAAGGAGGGCTGAGGACCAATGCTTCTTCAGGTACCCTCCAGGTTTTGAACTGCTGAGATACCCGCCTTCACGAACTGAGAAACTACAAGGTTCTCAACTTCTTCACCACACAGACTCAGCCGGAATAGTGTGAGACACGCTAATAAATCCCCGAGTGATGTATTTTCACTGCATTGTTTCTGCCCCTCTAGAGAACCACGACAACGATTGTGGTCTACATAGAGCATGTCTACTTCCTGCATATAGGTGATCTCAGCGTCTCCCATCAACGTGCTCCTATCCTCAGCAGTTTGGGCCAAAGTCCTGGGTGCTACATGGGAGACACAGTGATGGCATCCAGATGAGAGAAGATGCCCATTTAACAGAAGAACTAACTGCCATTCAGGGAGGACAAGCCCCCAGCCCAGATCATATGAACCCTCTAAAACAGCCTGGAACCTGCCCAGACTTACTCTGTGCTTGGTCCCAGAGAGCCAGTGCTCAAAGACTCAAACTCCTATAGGAACTGGTATGAGGGAAAGGGAGTGGGGAGGGGGGCATCAGGGCTCCTGACACTGGTAGGATGTTAGGAACACTTGCCTCTACCTGCCTCATTGCCACTTCAGTTCAGTCAGCAAGACAGTCAGGAGTCTGTCTCTAGAGCCCTCAGAAGGGTGGTAGGTGCCCTCTCCAGAATCCTCACTGCAGCCCCTCATGTACACACGCATTGAGCCCATGAAGACTTCTTCCAGCCAGCTGTTGTCAAACTGTCCTAAACAGGGATCATTCTCCAGGTCAGGAGACAAACAGAAGCTGGCACAAGAGTGTTGGAAGAACTATCCTGGCATTTTTAACAGTGTTTCAGGGACCCACAGAAACCCATCCCCCAACCTTCCATGCACACTGCAGTGCTCAGCAGAATCTTCAAAGTCTGTTCAGAGCAGGAAATGAAACATTGTAACAAACAAGGTATAGGTTACTCCATGAAATAGTTTCCTCCATCAAAAGCAAAGAATGGAGTATTTCCTGGTGAAAAAAAAAATTATATTTTTAAAAATGATGGACACCATAAAATGTATTTACAAAATGTTTACTAAATATGTGCAAGATATCTACAATAAAAACCTTAAGGCACTGATGAGCGAATTCAAGGAGATCCAAATACATGGAGAGACATACAATGTTCATGGAAAGGATGACTCAACAATGTTAAAATGCATTCTCTTCAAATTGGCCTATTGATTTAAATGTTTTTTCCTTTAGACAGGGTCTCTCTGTGTATCCTTGGCTATTCTAAACTCACTTTGTAGACCAGACTGGCCTGGAACTCACAGCAAACCACCTGTGTCTGCCTCCCTGGTGTGGGATTACAGGAGTGTGCCACCACACCTGGCTTGATTTAAAGGAGTTTTAACAAAATTGGAGCAGCATTCTTTGTAGAAATAGACACACTGATTATGAAAGTAATTGATTAATTTTGAGACGGGGGTCTCACCATTTGGTCAAAATGGCATGGAACTTGGCAGATCCACCTGGCTCTGCTTCCTGGGTGCTAGGATGAAAGATGTCCACTGCCATTCACCCGATTGTGAAATGTATGTGAAAACCCCAAAGGCATAGAATAGCCAAAAATTATTTGAAAATAAAAATATAATTGAAGAATCCCTATTTCCCCCCTCAAAACAGACTCCACAGTTGTGGGAATCATGGGGCTGGAAAGACAGCTCAGCAGTTAAGAGCACTTGCTGCTACAGCAGAGGATCAGCATTCTGTTCTCAGGACTAATACCCTCTTCTGGACTCTGTGCTCACCTATACTCATGTACGGAGAACACTCATACAAGGAAACACATAACACATAAAATTTTAAAACATTATTTTTTGAGACAGGGTCCCACTGCATGGTCCTGGCTGTCCTGGAACTTGCTGTATAGACCAGGCTAGACAAGGCTAGCCTTGATTCACAAAGATCCACTTGCCTCAGTTTCCTGAGTGCTAAGATTAAAGGTTTACATCACTAAATCTGGCATAAATAAATGGTCAGCCTTGAAAACACACAAGTATATTTAGGAATATATCTATATTCCTACTTAGGAATTCATATTCATATTTAGGAAATCATACAGTAACAATGAAATAAGAGGCCATGAATATAAAGGAGAGTAGGAAAGGATATGGCAGGGTTTGAAAAGAGGAAAGGGAAAAGATAAATGTTGTAACTACATTATAAATTCAAACAAACAAGTAAATAAAGGCAATAATGAGTATGGTGGCCAAAAACTAACAGTTGCAGTCCCTGAAACAGTCCACCCAGTAACTACCAAAATACCCATTTTTTATTCTTCTCCCAAACAAAGGACAAAAAACATTACCAAGGGAATATGTCCCAAAGTACACCTGTCCCCTTTATTTGCTCAAAGTTTATGATCTTTTATGCTATGTAATATCTGATATGGATAACTATGGTCTGAAAACCATAAAATCAAAGGTAATTATTATCCCAACACATCAAAGAATGGAGACACCAGTATACTAAGGGCATGTAAAATCTTACTTGAGGGGCTGTGAGGCAGCTGAATAGTAAACGCCAAACCTGAGGGCCTGCATTCAATCCAGGAGTCTCTGCAGTACAATAAAAGAGAACCCATTCCCACAAGTTGTCCTCTGACCTTCACACACACACTGAGGCATATATGCCACCCCCACATGAGATAATAATAAGTAATGTTTTTGAGGCAGGGCCTCATGCATACCAGGAGGGCTTGTAACTTGTTGTGTAGATAAGGATGACCTTGGATTTCTGACCCTCCTCCTTCCGACTCCCAAGTGATAGATTTTAGGCTTGTACCACCATGCCCAGATCACGGGGATGCCTACCCTTCCTGCAGGATAGGCAAGCCTTCTGCCAACATCCCTGCACCCCACTTTGAGACACTGTTTCACTGTGTAGCATAGACTGACTTCAGCCTTCGGTTTCCAACATCTGTCTGCTTCAGCCTCCCAATACTGGGAGTAGAGATGCAGAACCATGCCCAGTTAAAAATAAGTTTTTTGGTTTTGTTTGTTTGTTTGAGATAGGGTGTTGGTATAATGTTCTTTTGGAATGTTTACAATTTACCCTTGTTCATTCAAATGCTGATTTCTCTTCCCCACTACCTGGTTTCAATCTGGACATTGCATTGTGATGCTTATTCTAAGCATCACCTGTCTCAAGTTTTTGTAAACATGCCACCATTTGTTCTCTATATTGTCTATTAAAACAGCCAGCCACATTGCTGAGCAATGCTGAGAATAGGGTGGGACATCCTGGTCCAGAGTGGGAGAAGGAGGAAGGAAGCAGGAGAGAGGAGGAGAGGAGAATCAGTAGGAGAGGTCTTGGAACCATGTGGAGAAATGAACCGGACATAAGATATCACTAAATCAAGTATAATGGGTGAATCTGAATGGTAGGAAACTATGTGGGCTTGGAGGTTTAGGATGGAGTAACTATTGCCCCGCATTGTGCTCTAGATTAATTAAATAAATCCCAGTCTCTGTGCGGTGATTTGGTTATACAGCTGTTTAGGAATAACTGCTGCTTAACTAAAAGATGTATCAATAGTAAATACTAATACTCTACAACAACAGGGTTTTTCTGTATAGCCTTGGTCATCCTGGAACTCGCTTGGTAAACCAGGCTGGCTTCGAAGTCTGAAACTCAGTTTTAATGGTCTCATGATGGGAGAGGGAAAGTCAAAGCCCAGAACTTATTCAATAAGGAAATTATGTGACAGCCTCCGGCAGGAAGAGGGAAGCGCAAGGGATAAGAGCTCTGTTGCAGAAAAGGCGAAAGGAAGTTGGGGAGTGTTACTGTGATTTCACGTAAATTTTAGCTGCTCTATCCATCACAAGCCCTGAAAGTTATATAAAACCATCCTCAGGGGTTCCAAGGTTCCCCTTGCTTAAGGAACAATCTTCAGATTCTACCATTACCCCTTCATAGTGTTCCACTCCTTTAAGTGCAGCACCTTAAGGACAAAAGCAAGGAGGATAGCTCTAAGTTTGACGAAAATAAAATAAAGGTGAATTTAAGGATTTGCCTCAATGACCACAGAGCCACGAATCCACAGGAAAACCTTCTCCCGTTCAAACACCTGCAGTGGCTCTCACAAGATAAAAATCTAGGCGTGAGCTCCAGGGGAATGCCCATCCGCATGGAGACCCTATTCTGGGCTGGCGCTCCTTGCCATTTCTGGCACAGGAGGCAGCTCCGTTTATGTAGAGATCCAAGGAGCTGTGAGGTCCCAGGCCAGGCATGGGGTCACTGCGCGCTCAGCGGCTCCACCCGCAGCCACAGCCCGCCCTCTGCGCGCAGGATCAGCTCCGGCTTCCGGCGCGGCTCCTTGTCGTCCGGCAGGACGCGGAAGCGCAGCAGCGTCAGCGCCAGCGCCACCTTCATCTCGCTCATGGCGAAAGTCTGTCCTATGCAGTTCCTGCAGGAGGACGGGGTGGGGACTCTGACTGTGCCCGGACCCAGACAGGCCTCCTTGGACCCAACCCGACCAGGTTCCCGCCGGGCCTGGTCAGCATGAGGGCCAGGAGGGCGCTGATGTGCCTGGGACACTGCATGGGTGTCTCCATTCCTGGGGCCTGCCCTAGCTTCAGCGCCCAACTCAGACCAGGGGGCAATGAGTACATAGCAGCAGCCTTTGACCTTTAACCCCATGCTTTGCAGACCTTTGCACATAACTCAAGCAAAAGTAGGGGAGGAGGCTCAGATTCCTCACCCACTCAATTGTACCCTGGCCCCAAGGGTCACACCCAGATTCTTCCCCCAAGACCATTCCTTACCTGGGGCCCGCTGAGAAGGGAATGAATGCCAGAGGTGACCTGTCTTTGATGTTTTCAGGGTCAAATCTAAAGGGGTCATAGACCTGCAGGAGAGGAAAAACTAGGCTAATAGGTCTGCTCTCTCCCCATGTCCAGCTGTCCCAAGAAAAGACAGCGACAGGAGGATAATAGCTTTGGTTTCCCAGATAGTACTGTGCCTCCTCCCCAGGTCCTAGAGTTGGGGAAAGAAAAGTGTCCCACCTCAGGGTCTGGCCAGACTGAAGGGTTGTGGTGAACCCCGAAAATGCTGACGACACAGACGGTCCCTGTTAAGTAAGGAGACCGTCAGACAGGTCCATGTTGATTCTGGGAGCCACCACCCTACCCAGGCCACTGAGGGCACCTTTGGGGATGACCCGGCCATCTGGCAGCTCAACGTCGTGGGTGCAGCGCCGGGAGATTATTGAGACTGGGGGGTGCAGCCGCAGACTCTCCTTGATGCACATGGTCAGGAAGGGCAGCTGGGCCAGGTCGTCCCTAAGGAGCACAACACACGATTATCCAGGAGCAAAACAAAGCCCTACTCATCTCTCTGCCGCTCAGTGAGACTGATCATTAGCTCTGCTCCAAAAATACTGTTTGTTTAAAAAATATTACTTTTTTAAAGTTATAAGTGCACAAGTGTCTCTCTGTGTGCTACGTGTCTGTGGAGGCCAGAGGAGGGCGTCAGATTTCCCGGAGGTGGAGGTGGTTGTGAGCTGCCCTGTGTTGGTGCTGGGGTCTAAACAGCTGTCTGGAAAAACAGTAAGTTCCCTTAACTGTTGGGCCATCTTGCTAGCACCTTGGTTTTGTTTTTTGAGCTATCATGTTGGCCTTGAGCTAGCTATGTAATCAAGGATGACCTTTAACCTTGATCATCTTGCTTCTGCTTTCTAAGTGCTGGGATGAAAGGGATATTAGTAGACTCCAGATATGCTAATGAATACATGAGAAGCTAGTATCTGGTAAAATAAAGAGGGCACATGCTGGGCAGTGGAGGCACACACCTTTAATCCCAGCACTTGGGTGTTTGAAGCCAGCCTGGTCTACAGAGCAAGTTCTAGGACAGCCAGGGCTACACAAGAGAAACCCTACCTTAAAAACCTAAAACAAAGAGAGAGAAGAGGAGGGAAGGAGGGTAGAAAGGAGAGAGAGAGAGAGAGAAGAAGGAGGAGGAGGAGGAGGAGGAGGAGGAGGAGGAGGAGGAGGGGAAACACACCAGATCCTGAGTTATGAGAAACATGAACGGTTCCTGGGTAATGAGAGGGATGTCACGCCACTTGTGTTCCAGGCAAGAATTAAGAAGGTAAGGACTGTTGGAGAGCAACTGAGGTGTGGGGTGCACGGCTACCGAGGATGTAGACTTGCACAGAGGCTACCTGCAGTGGAGAGCTGGCAGCCCAGGGACCCCACACTAGTACTTGAGAAGGAGTGGAGCTCAACCAAACAGTAGTTCCTACTGTGCAAAGGGCCTGGGGTTCCATGCCTAGCACTGGAAGAAAAAGCGGTAAATTAAATGCTCTTAAAATCAGAGATCCTTACTAAATCCGGAATAATTTTTATATTCCAGAAAAAGAAGAAGCAGGGTGAGAGTTTTAGTATGTAATGAGTTCTTGGGGCTGGGAAAATGGCTCTGCAGATAAAATGCTTGCCATACAAGCATGAAGAGTGGAGTTCAGATCTCCAACCATGTGATCAAAGCAGACCCAGAAGCAGATCGGACAAGCTCCTGACAGTGACAGACCCTGACTCAGTAAAGGAAGTGGAGAAGTCAACGAAGACACAACTGGCTTCCACACACATGTGCACATGTTTGTTTGCATACATGCACACACATACACACACACACACACACACACACACACGCCCACCCCCTACACACATCCTGATACATCCATTTAACAAACTACTATACAGTTAGTCAAAAGGTAGAAAACGAATCATTAGTTCCATTGTACCTTGGACAGTAAATCAGCACAGAGATGCTAAACAGCAATTCAGAAATATCTGTTCTCATTGAAAATATTTCCATGCATGTCCTCAGTGGAGTTCTGAGCTGAGCAACTGTAGAATGTCACACAGAACACAAAAGAAGGAACAGCCAAGCATGATGCTGAATGAAAAGAATGAATCACTACATACATGGGTGTATGGGAGATACTGCAGAGGAGTATTTGAGCATTTGACTGAGAGCCCTAGAGACCTTCAGCAGACAGAGAGAAACTCAAACACGGCGAAGCTGTGCAGCTGGGAGGCAAGCAGTATTCTGCTAGCCTCCAGCTAGGTGTCTCCAGGCTCTATGCAGCATGTAAGCCTCAGCCATGCTCCCCAGGGAGCCCTGGCCACAGGGAAGCACGCCGCCTACAGATGCCTGGTCATTTCTGCCCGGTGTCTGACTGGCACACATCTTCCCTTTGTTCCTTTTCAGACACATATCACCTTCTAGCCCAGGCTGCCCAGCCAGTCTAACCTGCAGCAGTCTCCCTGGTGCTGAGGTTACAGCCTGAATCACCGCACCTGGCTTTCCCACTCCTGTTTACCTTTGCTCCTACACTGGCTTCCAGAGGTCTTTAGTGGACCCACCTTTGGTTAAAGCTCAGATTCTTAACAGATTCAAAAGATTGTATTTGCAGCCCTAGTCTCACGAAGGGCTTCCCTGGTCCTCATGCGTGTATTTCCTAAACACCCAGGCACATTACTCCCTCTGACCTCTAAGCATGTCAAACTGCCTCATGCATGGGTTCCTGCTGGTAGAGCAGAGATGTCTCCTTCTCACTGCGTTGTTCATTCACTGTGCCATTAAGAAGCTTGGCTTTTTTTTCTTTTTCTTTTTCTCTGTTTTCATCAGCTAAGGTCAACTGTTCTGTAGACTAAAGCAGGATGGTCACTCAAGTCTATCAGTTTGGTACCAGCTCAGGCAGTCTAGCAAATATTCCATCACAAACTGACCAACTTAAAAGTGGATCTAGGAATTGGCATGGTGACACGGTTTTACAACGCTGGGCACTCAAAAAGGATTGCTTTGAGACCAGCCTACGCTACATAAAAACATTCTTATTTCAAAAAATGGTAACATATCCGGATGCTGTGGCACAGGCCTGTAATCCCAGCACTCAGGGAGGCAGAGGCAGGTAGATCGCTGTGAATTCCAGCCCAGCCTGATCTACAAAGCCAGTCCAGAACATCCAAGGCTACACAGAGAAACCAAGTCTGGAAAAATCAAAACAAACAAAAAATGGTAACACTTTTTATTTTAAGACAGGTGTTTCACCATGTTGCCCAAGCTGGCCTTGAACTTAGAGTTGTGACAACACAGGCACTGGGACATGCTACGTCAATGAAGAGATAGATAACTTTTATCCATTGAGATCCTTGTGAATCCCCGGCATTGACTGCAAGGTCTGAATTAAACAGGACAAAAATAAAGGGGAGTTACGGTCTCAGGGAGGAAACGCAAGTATGAGCAGAAAAGCAAAGGAGGGAGGGCAGTTTTGAATTTGTGTTGGTGGCATCTGCTCTCTTTATATTGCCACTAATTTTTCAAGCAGCCCTGTAAGACAGCTTTCCCCAGTCAATATAGATGGTTTATAAAAGTTTGCTAATGCTGACTAGCCAGCTAGTGAGGTGATAAAGGTGGCCTTTGAGATCTCTCTGTCCCTGAGCATACACCTTTCTCTTGCCGGCCAGGCTGGGTATCTCTCTCTGAGCTCAGCTCCTGTGTGCACCAGGAAATAATGGAAGAATCAACAGGAAGAGTTCTTCTTCCCGACCCGGGGAGAAGAGGCAAAGAGAAGGCCTAAAGAACAGACCATAAGGACCTGCACTCACCATTCAATCTCCTCAGGGTTGTGGTCCCTCAGGAGCTCCTGCACCTCCTGCCGGCAGCGCTCCTGGTATTCCGGGTGCCTCGCCAGGTTGTATAGGATCCAGGAGAGCGCACTGGCTGTGGTGTCATGGCCTGAGGGATAAGCAGGAAAGCTGTGTTTCAGGGCTGTTTCAGCATTGCAGGCTAGACAGTGTCTAGACAGTGAGATTCCCCAGGAAGGATGGGGAAGGGATGGATGGAAGGAATGGACAGATCCCGGAGGGTCCCCCAACAGGTGAGCCTGGGACTAACAGATCCCTTCCCTTTCTGTAGCCCTACACAGGGACCCTCACCTCCAAACATGAAGGTGTCAGCCTCTGCTCGAATGTCCTCATCTGACAGCTCCTTTCCATGTTCATCCTAGAGACAAAGCAAGACCACAACTCATACAGTGTCTGAGCACTCCTGAGTCCAACTTGAGACTCTGACAAGCTCTGACACTCACTGTGCACACAGACTCCTCCTGTGTTAGCCTCAGCTCCCGCCTCACAATTCTCTCCTTCGTTGCTTGCTGTTCTTTTTTTCTACACGGCATTCAGCAGAGCCACCTCTAAATCTTATCTTTAACCTGGCCCTCTTCTTTTCCAATCACTCTCTACGCCTCACTAGTACTCAATGACGTTGAACATCGAGAACCCTGCATCTTTGATCCCAGAAAAACCCACCTTGGCCAGCAAGAGCACATCAATGAAGTCTAAAGTTTTAGTCTTAGCCTTGGCCTTGAGGAATGCATCAACACCCTGGTTATTGAGGGTGCGGCGTCTCTCCCTGATGACAGCATCTGTGAAGTTGTGCACCAGGTCACAGGCTTTGCGGAAGCGCCGCCCATCAGCAGTGAGGTAGTACAGGAAGTCCGAATACAGGAGGAGCTGCTGGGACCTTTTTACTACGAGGGCACTGAGCTCCAAGATGGCTGCAATGTATTCACTGGGGGACCTGCAGAGCAGGCCAGAAAGAAAGCAAAGTCTTAGGACACACGAAACTCCAGAACACACCCATGCAAAGACCCAGCACTAAAAAAAACCCCGCCCCCCAAAGTGCTCTTTGGAGGGCATACTTCTCTCTGCCTCTCATTATAAGCCCCTGTGTCCCCGAATTTCAGGCAGACATGGCTATTGTCCTCATCTTTTCTTCCATTCAGTGTCTGCTTCTGCTGTTCCTTGACTTGGTGTAGATCTTCCCTATTTTTGGCACCACGCTCAGATTTTTCTCTCTTCAGATCCTACATTGTGTATCTACCTGAATGTCAGTCCTCTAAAGAGTTGGTATCCAAATTCAACTTTGACTTGAACTCTCATCTTCTTAAATACCTATGGCTGCCTAGGAAACTCAAAAGGAAGCTCACATCCTTCTAGCTGATTGTTCAATATCCTTAACATCTAGGAGCTAGCTAACATGGTATTCGAGCCGCAAACTCAACACTTAGGAAAGGGGCAGGAGAACTCTGAGCTCCAGGGAAACCTGGGCTACAGAGTAAGACCCATTCTAAAAATGAAAAGTCCCATTTTTTTTTCCTTCCATTTCTTGAGGCAGGGTTTCTCTGTATAGCCCCAGTTGTCCTGGAATTTGCTTTGGAGACCAGGCTGACCTCAAACTCAAAGATCTACCTGCTTCTGCCTAGCAAGTGCTGTGATTAAAGGCATGAGCCACCACACCTGGCTGAATTTTTTTTAAAAGAGTTTCTCTATGTTGCCCAGCTTGATCTCAAACTCATAAAAATTAGAAGAAAAAAAAAATGAAAGAAAAAAAATTAACATGTCTCATCTTCAGTGACAGTTTGTTTAGTTTTTTATTTTTGTTATTTTTATTTTTGTTTTATTATTGTTATTTTTATTTTTGTTTTGGCAGGGCTTCTCTGTGTTGTCTTGACTGTCCTGAGCTCACTTTGCAGACCAGGCTGACCTCAAACTAACAGCAATATGACTGCCTCGGCCTCCCTGAGTGCTGGGGTAACTGGCATGTGCCACTGAGCCCAGCTAATTATTTTCCCTTTGATCATATTCTTTCCCTTTTTCTAGTTTTTTCTTGAACCCATCACCCACCCAACTTTGTTTTTTCTTTCTTAAAAAAATCAAAAGGAAACAAAAGTACATACACACGCACAAATAGAGTTTGATCTGTGCTGACCAACTTCTCCTGAGCATGAGGCCTGCCTTAAAGTGTCACTCCATTGAAGAAAATTGATTTTTCCCTTTCCCAGAAGGTAGCAATTGAAATAGCTTCTTGGCTATGGGTGGGACTTTGTGACCATGTCCCCTTCTTACTGGGATTAGTAACAGTTACTCTTGATTATCCTCTTGATCGGTTTAATATATACCTAGGAGTTTACTGAAGCTTACATCTGTGTGTTCGTAGCAGTATTTCAGACTGGATAAAGGCCTACTGAGCATGTGGACAGCCATAGTCTATTAGCTGAGGACTCATACAGACAACAGGAAGGAGGAGAAAGGTTGGTTGCAAGCACTTGAAATCTTTACTCTTTATTTCTTTGACATTATGATGGGAGATGCCCTGTCACACCTTTTCCTATGAGGAAGAATGGAAACTTCTGACCCAAGTAGCTCAAACAAATCTCTTCTTCCTAAAGTTATTTTGCTTAGGTATTTTCTCACAACAGAAAAAAAAATTCTAATACCCACCTCAACCTCATTTCCAAGATGTCTTGTTCAAACTGCCTGTTAATGACACTGCTCATCTACAATTCCCACAATTCCCCTTCCCAGGAAGAACCACAGTTTCTCCTTTCCCTGTCTTTAAACGTTAGTTATAGCCCACCTTTTTCTCCCTCTGTCCAGTCCCTCTCTCCCCAACCTCCTCCCTTGGTCCATGGCTCAAGTTTCCAGGCAAAGACAGAGAGACTCACTCCTGACAGTTGCTGTCGAAGCTGAAGATGCATTTCTGCAGACTGTCCAAAGTCATGAGGCTGATGTGTTCAAACATGTCCAGACGGGCGCTGCCCTCGGAGGCCAGGCACTGCCACTTGGCCTGGCCACAGAAGTGGTTTGAGATAAGGCAGAATCTTGCCTTCTTGCACCACCGCACAACTCCAAACACTGGGATAGAGTTCCCCACCCTGCTTGGAGCCATCCTTCTAGGTGCTCTGCCCCAAGCACTCCACCAGGGTATGGCAGATTTGGGTGAGTACAGAGATGTTAATGTAGGAGTCTGACATGCAAAGCTGGGAGCCAAAAGCCCTGGGTTCAAGTCCACCTTCTGCACACATTTTTTCAGCTCATTGTCCCCCTCCTCATTCCCACCTCTTAAACCTCTAGTAATGATCAAGTCGACCTGATTTTTTTTGCCCCACAAATCAGACTTAAATATTTGTTTCACTACTTATGCTCTCTTACTACTGGTGAACTTTGACACGTTCCCTGATCTCTCTGGCCCTCAGCTTCACAATCCACAATCTTCTAGTCATCTCTATATTAGTCCAACAGGAAAATTATATCAGACAACTTATATCTTGGAACTGTCATAATATTTCTGCATATAGTAAGGGATCAAAAAATGTCTGTTATTTTTGCCATCCTTGATAGCATAGTGGTAGGCAGCTTCGGAAATGACTCCATTTTTTTTTTTTTTTAATAATTCCTCCATCTTCAGCCTTTTCATCAAGGCCTTGCAGCTCTTGCCATTGTGAGGTAGGCCTGCTTCTCCATGTTTTGAATCTGAGCTGAAGTAAAGACTTAATTGTTCTGACCTAAGGACTGTTGTAAAAATGATGGTGTGCTGTTTCTGAAGCCAAGCTTGGAGAGATACTAAGTTTATCTCTCTTTCTCTCTCTCTCTCTCTCTCTGTCTCTGTCTCTATCTCTCTATCTCTCTCCAGTCTCTCCAAACTAGGAAACCCACACTCACTCAAGGAAGATAAAAAGCAAGGATGAATCTAGTTGGCCCACCAAGGCCAACAAAGTTGTTATTCTTATTTTTTCCTCTCTCTCTTTTTTAAAACTTTTCTTAGCCAGTCGTGGTGGCGCACACCTTTGATCCCAGAGAGGGTAGTCAGAGCTCTGTGAGTTGGAGGCCAGCCTGGTCCACACAGTGTGTGATACTGAGTTTCAGGACAAAAAGCAAAAATACAAAAACCAAAGCACACAAACAAACAGAACCAACCCTCCTCTCTTTTGATTTTAATGCTAGGATAGAAACCAGAGTTTCGTGCATACTAAGCAAGCTCTCTGGCACAGAACAACACCCAAGACTTTGTTTTTCTTGAGATAGGTTCTGGCTATGTAGACATGAACTACACTTCTGCCTCAGACCCCCACGTGCTGGGATCAAAGGTATGTCTTACCATACAGAGCTTAAGGCCAGTGAGTTTAAAGTGGCATGGTGTATAGAAAGAGCTACTGTGCAACAGTCAACATTGATGTTTGACTTTCCAAAGCTTCTGTGACCAAGAGACAGGTCCTTTTCAACCCCCCTTGTATGCTAGGAGCATGACTCCATGGTGTCACTTTGACTACTCTTTAGGTATAGATTATTATTCCTGCTTTATAGACAGAAAATTGCTGAATGGTGGTGGTGCAAACATTTAACCCCAGCTCTGCGGAGGCTGAGGCAGGCAGATCTCTGTATTCCAGGCCAGCCTGGGCTACAAAGCAAGTTCCAGGATAGCCAGGGTTACACAGAGAAACCCTGCCTAAAAACAAAACAAAACAAAAAAGTTAACGAACAGAAAGAGACTTTGAGAGAAACTGGTCCCAAAGGCATCTAGCAGATGTGCCTACAGATCACATCTGAAATCATACCCCTTTTCACAAGGCTCCAGAAACTCACGTGCATGATGTTCACACTCTTGTTAAAAATCTTCACGTAGGGCTTCAGGATGTCGAAGTGAAAGGCCGGTGTCAGCAGGCGTCTGTGGTGACTCCACTTCTTACCAGCACTCAGCAGGAGCCCGTCCCCTGGTGTGGCAGCCGTGACAATAGGCAAGGGTAGTACCATCCCTTAACCCTCAAGGGGGTCCCCTGACCCACACTTTCAGATACTCACCTAGCCAGGGCTTCAGGAAGCCATAGAGAGTCATTTCCTTGGGTGCGACAGCAGCTGACACAAAGAAGGACAATCAGGGGCCGTGGAGAAGGACTTTAGGAGGGGTGGGGACCCCCCCGGGCAGGGCTGTGCACTTCCTCCCTATGCTCAGCATGTCAAGAGGACAAGGACAAAGAAAGCAGGGATGGGGGGGGGGGACGACAAGAGAAGACCAGACCAAGCTGCAGCAGCAAAGTGACACAAATGCCCCCATCATGCACTCATGTGGTTCTATTTTGTCTGTCTTCCACACCTGAGCACCGAACAGCACTCTACAGCCTTCCCAGAGGCGCCTACAGGGCGGTGTCTGCTGCAACTCTCTGATTTCACCTCACCTATCCCAGGACATAAGGCATGTGTTATCGTGATCTGTCATGGACACAGCACACATGGTGTTCCTTGACATGGCACAAAATAGTCTGCCATGCTCATTCAGCATCTGGCACAATCACATCGTGTGCTTCCGATACATCTCAGAAAAGATACAAATACGGTCCTACTAACGTCCCAAATGTGATGTAGATATATCCAGGCATTTCCTATCTGCCATCACATTCACCAGCATTCTGGCAAGATGGACCGTTTTTGAGTGAGGAGCCGCGGGCTGAGACAAGCGCATGGCTTATGAAGGGCTCCCCACTATCCAGTGTCTCCTCCTTGTCCCAAACGGTCGAAATGTTGGTACCCCAAGCAAGAGGGTGATTTTGGAGATAGGTGGTGTGCGGAGTATTACAGGAGAAGCTTCACCATAACCTACCTCTGTGTGTCCCTGACCCTGGTGAGCACATGGGGGCCACACCCTGTGTTATCCATAAGGGTAGGGGATTCCTTGGCCCTAAGCACTTGATACAGCCTAGGAAATGTCTGAGCCCAGATGTACAACATAAACCTCAGGGACAAGGCTGACCACATGGCCAAAGGCGAAAGCCTGAACTCTGAAATGACCGTCTCTTTTGTTCCTTTCCTGTCTCCCCTGCCCTGGCTTCCCCTACCCACATCCACTACAAATGTGCTGGTTGGAGACGAGATATAAGGTAGTTTTTTGTTGCTTTGTTGTTGTTTTAGAATGTTAAAACTCTCTGCCTTCTTGGATTATACATGCTCTGAATAACACACAGTTTAAAGATTAAATTATAATTTCCAATCATTGGCATTCACATTAAGAATGCAGTATAATCTTAGTATTCTGGTTACCTCTCTGGTACCTCTTCCTAAATAGCTTTAGGGCTGTCCAGTTAGTCCCTGACTTACTAAAGAGTCTCAAAGACTGTCTATTCTGGGGATCCTACGATCACTTGAAGACTTTTCCTGTCCCAGCTCCTGACACTCCTTGTCATTGGGTTGCAGCTTGTCTGGCTTCTGTTTTGTTGTTGTTGTTTTGGTTTTTTTGTTTGTTTCTTTTTTGGTTTTTCGAGGTAAGGTTTCTCTGTGTAACCTTGGTCATTCTGGCACTCTGTAAACCAGGCTGGCCTCGAACTCAGAGATTTGCCTGCCTCTGTCTCTTGAGTGCTGGGATTAAAGGCCCGGGCCACTAGCACCCAGCTTGGCTTCTGGTGTGTTTTAGTGCAATTTTTAGTGCAACTTTTCCTGGGTTATGGCACATGAAGCATATGGTCTGCTCTGTTCTGTTTGGCTTACTTCACAATTTCACTATAATGGATGTCGTAGACTCCATTCCTGATGACAAGCACTTAGGGAGAAGCACCCAGTGAATTGGCCTCATTATCTCATAAGAAAAAGAAAATGGCATATTATTGTAAAAACTTTGGCCACTGTATGTATTATATTCTGGGGTGGGGTGGATGCCATTAGATGTTTCTCTAATTATCATACTATTTTACAGTTATGGTTTTTGGCTAATGATCTGAACACTAGGGGAAGATACTACCTTAAGTACACTATCTTGTTTCCATTTAAGAGAGTACTGTGAGTTAATGGAATTGTTTTAATTTTCTTTTCTTTATTTTTATTATGAGCGTGTGTGATGTGTGGGTGTGTGGCAGACATGTGGAGGTCAGAGGTCAAATTTTTAGAGTCAGTTCGATAATTTTACTCTCAGTGGGTTCCAGAGATTGAGCTAGGTCATTAGGCTTGTCCAACAAGTGCTTTCAGTCACTGGTCGTCTCACCGATCCTAACTGCTGTAATGCATCATTTTGTATCTACAGCAGTTTGCAACCAAATTTAATCTGGCCTTAGAGATCCTGACTGTGAATGAATTGGCAGAGTTACAGTCTCTGCCTTTTACTTGGTATTTGCTAGACATTGGCTCTCTCACACAGTTTTCAGGGGAACAAAAGCCATACTGTAACTACAGGGTTGGCATATAGGATTTTGGCCCTTTCCCTCATGTCTTTTTATTTATACAATGAAGGCTTTGTTATCTTGCCAATCTTTGCTGGAATGTATGATTCTGTAACCCTCAGACATTAGTGAGACAAAGAAAAAATGTGTAAAACAATTTTTAAAAAAATCTAAGCAGCAATGAGGTCTGCTTAGGTCTTGCACAGACAGAAATTTTATAGCCCAGTAAAAAGTGGGTGAATAATCTTTATCTGCACTCCGTCATAAATGTAATTTTGATGAAATACTCTTTTAATAGAGAAGCTGATAAATAATAATAAAGCAAAACACACACACAAAACAAAAACAACAAACTCAAAAAGAAAAACAGTTTAGTGACAGAGAAAGAAATATACAATCCACACAAGTCACATAAGGGTTGTAGAAAAAAAAATCTTTTCTTATTATTTTGCTTTTCTTTTTTTTTTTCTTCCTTTCTGTCTCTCTGTCTCTCTTTTGAGTCAGGGTTTCTCTGTATAGCCTTGGTTGTCCTGGACTTGCTTTGTAGACCAGCCTGGCACACACAGTATCACAAGGACACGAGGGTCACAGTGATCCTCCTGCCTCTGCCTCCCTAAGTGCTAGGATTACAGGTATGTGCCACCATGCCCAGCTGCCTTGTTCTTTTTCAAAACATGGTTTCTCTGTGTAGCCTTGGCTGTCCTGGAACTCACTCTCCTAACACTCAGAGATCCGCCTGCCTCTGCTTCCTTAGTAAAGGCATGTGTCATCACTGCCAGGCTGAAAAGAATCTTCTTTAATGATAATAATTATGGTGCTTGAATCTTATTAAAATCCCTGAGGTCAAAATTCAGTATATTAATATACAACTATAACCTAGTTCTCTGGTTAAATCAATGAGGTTCTCTTAAGATATTGATTTGTTCTTGGTAACATTTACAAAACCAACTAAAAAAATAAAAATTTATGTTTAATCAAGGTATGTTTTCTGTTAAATTTGTCAGGATTTTAACTACTTAGAACACTGGGTCTTAGCCAGGTGTGGTGGCACACACATTTAACCCCAGCACGTGATAGGCAGAGGCAGGCGGCTATCTCTGAAGCCAGCCTGGTCTACAGAGTGAGTTCCAGAACAGTCAGGGCTACACACAGAGAAATTCTGTCTCAATTTTTTTTTTTTTAAAGAAAACTGAGTCTTAACAAACTCAAGGTTTATTTAAGTACCTATTTACAACTTTTAAAAAGAGATCATTGCTGTTTATTTTTGCTTGTGTGAGTTTTTGTGTCATGTGTGTGCTGGTGCTCACAGAGGCCAGAAGAAGGCATGAGCTGGGTCTGGAGTTACACATCGTTGTGAGCTGCCTGGCATGGGTGCTGGGAATTGAACTCAGGTCCTCTGAAAGAGCAGTGAGTGTTCTTCATCACCGAGTCAGTTCTCCAACTGAGATGATATATTATCTATTATATAATGTATATATAATATATATCTCCAAACCCCTGTTTTCAAATTTATGCACAAGTTTATTTTAAGATGGTTTTAGTTGCTGATTTTTTTTTTTTTTTGATTGCTAAGCTTTTTGCAGAACTATTCTAATTCTTTTGCTTCCCACAGCTCTAGCCTTTCTCTATAAAATTTATAATCAGGGGCTGGGGTATAATTCAGGTGAGAGACAGTTTGCCTAGCAATCATGGAGCCCAAGGTCCACCCCTCTAGCTACGTAAAGCAAGTGTGGTTTGTATGCCTGTAATCCCAACCTTCAGGAGGTGAAGCTAAGAGGATCAGGAATCCGAAGTTATTTCTGCTACCTCACAAATTTGAAGCCAGCTAGGATGTGTGAGAAGCTGTCTAAATAAAGATTTACAACCACTTTCAGCAAACGGTTATAGCATGTACTTATTTACTAAACTAGTTCTCTTTAAATATTTGTTGTTATTGGTTGTGTTAATTCTCATTAAACACTGCTGTCTGTTGACATTTTGCATAAGTAAAATTCCTAACAAAGCAAACTGTGCATTTCTTTAGAAGAGGCTAGGACATGATATCACCTACAGTAACCAAGAGTAAATTTAAAAATAGGCTCCAGGTGGAGTGCCCAACCTTCCTAATGCTTCAGCCCTTTAATATAGTTGCTCATGTTGTGGTGACTCCGAGCTATAAAGTTATTTTCACTGCTACTTCATAACTGTAATTTTGCTGCTGGTAACAATTGCATTATAAATATCTAATATGCAGATGGCCTTAGATGACCTCTGTGAAAGGGTCATTCGGCCCCCAAAAGGGTAGCATCCCCACAGGTTGAGAACAATTGTTGTATATCTTTAGTTGATTACATGTGGCCAGCTGTAATTTGTTAACACTAACTCCTTGATACCTATCACTTACTCTCCTCAAAAACTGTGAGATCAGATCAAGCCAACTGGGACAGATTCCTTCCCAGTGATGAGAGATAGCTGAGACCAAACCACCAGATGGTTAATCAGAAAGCAGGTTCCAGAAACAAAAACAAACAAAAAAACTGGCCAAAGACGAAAGGTTGCCAGAATCAAAATAAATTTGTGCTGGGCATGGTGGTTCTTGCTTGTAATCCAGACACTCAAGAGGTTAAAAAGGAGGATCATTAATTCAAGGCTTCACAGTAAGACCATGTCTCAAATTCAACAGGAAAAATGGGGTCCCTTGTGCCAGTTCTTTCAAAATTAATTGGTTGGGAGGTTATTTAAGACATGTGCCTGTAATCCCAGCACTTAGGGAGGCAGAGGCAGAGGCAGGCAGGTCATTGTGAGTTCGAGGCCAGCCTACTCTACAGAGGAAGTCCAGGACAGCCAAGGCTACATAAAGAAACCCTGTCTCAAAAAAACAAAGATAAAATAAAATAAAAGAAAAGAATATATGTATATGGAGAGCACAAACTGCTTGATGGCCTTTTTTTTTGGAGAGGGAGGACACAATATTAGGTGGGTAGGGAAAGGGGTTAGATCTGAGGGTAATTGGGGGAGGAAGGTGGATATGATTCAAATATATTGTACAAAGTTCTCAAATAACAAATGAAAAGGGGAAAAACAAGAAAAAAGCTCTAAACTCAAAAATAAACAGTGGTTATTACACAGGGATACACACACCAACTAAACATCTTCTATACTTGGGTCCTTGTATTTTGTTTATATTTCTTTCAAACAAGATATATTTTAAGACTTTTCATACCAAGTCCAGCATTTCACCCCAAATTCCTTAATGTCAAAAACTGAAAATGGAAAAATATCATTAGTATTGTAGCAAAAAATAACAAATATTTCAACAGCCAAAAATATGTTGTTTTCAAAGACTGTGCTAACATTATTTAAATGTAATAAAAAAGTTAAAACAGTTCATAAAGTTGTCTTTGCTGTACAAAAGATGGAGATTGTTGATCTGTCTTTTCTTATCTCCTGGCTCCTGAATCTTATAGGTCATGGAAAAGCCTTTTCAAACTTTCTACTCTTTATTCTTTTGGGAACAATGGCTTACTATATTATGTAATGTGCTTGGAAGTACACAGGTTAGTGCTGGACAATTCACTTACTGGTAAAAAAGCCATTCTGGCAACCAACTGGATATTCAGAAACAGAATCCCAGCTTATATGTCAAATGGGTCTTATAAGATATAAACTTAACACTTTTTTTTTTTAAAAAAAAAAAAAAACTTTTTAAAAAAGTTTTGTTTTTCAAGACAGGGTTTCTCTGTGTAGCCCTGGATGTCCTGGAACTAGCTCTATAGACCAAGATGGCCTTGAATTCAGATGCTCACATGCCTCTGCCTCCCAAGTGCTGGGATCAAAGGCGTGCGCCTGGCAAGATATAACAGTGTTTAATAACAGTAGAAAATAGGGATGAGAGAGATGGTTAGGGGGACTTTATAGTCTATAGTCTAAGGAAATATTTTCACTCCGTGTTGAGGAAAGAAAAGCTATACATTGAAAATAGATCTATATATGCACACAATTAATGGTTTGTTTATTCTGAGGTAACTGATGCCTAGGCAACTAAGAAGAATGCGAGACAGACCACAGGCACTAACAAACTCCAGGCTACACAGAGTTTAATGCTGTCATCCCAGCCTAACCACCTGACCAAATGAACAAATGAGCTCTGGAAATATTGACTGACTTTTATTTCTCTCCTTCCCTGTATAACATGCTTGCCAGAGCTATGCATGTGTGGGCTGAGGGTATGGTCTACATGTGTGTCTCTGCATGTGTAGGCCAAAGGTCAAGCTCAGGAGTTGTTCTTTAGAAGGCATCTACTTTGTTTTTATTTCTGTTTTCAACAAGGTCTCTCACTGGAGCCTGGGGCTCACCAATTTGGCAAGGCTAGCTCGCAAGAGAGCTCCCAGATCCACCTGTCTCCACCTCCCCAGTCCCGGACTTCAAGCGCATACCACAACTCTCAGCTCCTTAGTTAAGGCAGCGCTTCAGGTTTGTAGTAGTTTAAATGAGATTTCCCTCATATCCCAGGCATCTGTGACACTGTTTGGGGGCAGATTAGGAGATATGGCCTTGCTTGAAGTCGTGAGTCACTGGAGGTAGGTGCTGAGGTTTAAAAGCCCCCCACAACCCTCCTCCCCCTGACCCCCCGTTTCTCTCTCTGCTTTCTCTTACTGGTGTGCGATGTGAGCTCAGCTTTCAGCTTTCGTCGCCATGCTGCCTACTGCTGTACTTATGCACTATAGCAGCGACAAACCCATTCCCCACCAAAACATAGGCCCCAAAGAAACCTTTTTGATTGTTTGTTTGTTTGTTTTGTTTTCTGTAAATTGTCTTGGTCATAGTGTTTTATCACAGCAATAGAAAAGTAACTAGTCAAGCGGGTTAAACTAGTACCTTCTCAGGTCACAAGTGATCTGAATAAAGTGCAACTTAACAATGCAACCTCTGCCTGACAGAACTAGCGTCAGTATTCTGGTAACATATGAATGACCGTGGTGTCTGCTTCTGCATTTCTATTCTCCTGGGCCAAGCACCTCACACCTTCCCTCAATCTCAGTCCCAGTATTTGTAACCTCAGTGAGATCAAGTCACAGTGATCAGAGGAAGAACCCAGTCCTCTTACCAAAATCAAATTGAAAGAAATCCTAGAGTATTTCCCAAGGCTACATGGATTTTTTTTTCCCCCTGAGGATTCTGAGCTTCTAGGAGTAATCTTTTGTTGCAAGAAAGTGAAGCCACCATAGTGAACACCAGAACTAAGAAATGGTTCCTGCTGCCATTATTTACAACATTTATCCACTTGTGTTTGAAGACCTCTTTTCCTGACCTCAATAACAACAGATTTCTTTACATTTTTTTTTTCATGTGCTATACATGCAGCCTGAGGCCTTGTGCTCTAGCTCTGAGCTACACCCCCAGACAACAATTTCCCTTTTTTTGATAACTCCATTAACTCACAACCCACACAGAAATCAACAGCACGGGAGGCTCAGGCCCTTGTCCAGTGTCATCCAGAAGATTGGTGACAGAGTCATGACATCTGTCCCATATGGCTTTATCCCCTGTGCAGCTTGGTCTGTGGAGGTGAGAAGGACTGGGAGAAGAAGCAGGAAAGAGACAAGTGCGAGATACCTGAGGCTTGAAGCAGGGGAGCAATGAACTTAGGGTGGATGAGCCGCAGGACAGGGTAGACAGGTCCAATCCAAAAGAGATGGGTATCCCGGAAGTAGTGGCCCAAGCGTGCAATGAACTGCATGCTTTCCTCACTGTTCGTCATCTAGAAAGGGAGAGGTCTGAGGCTGGAAGGGTGTCCTACCACTCTCTCCCGTTCCCTCCCCACCTCTCTCACCCTTCTCTTGGGTCATTAATCTATGGTTCCTGCTGAGCCACCGCAGGTTCATGCGTATGTGACTCTTACATTCATATTTCTACCCGCACGCCTCTCTTCCAAGTCTCACTCTATTTTTATGTTTCTTACTTTTAATAGCGGTTTGATGAAAAAACAGGAAAATATACACACGTGGTTTATAAGGCGACACTTGATGGATAATATAGACAGATTATACAAGGACACAGGATAGGTAAATTCTTGGAGCTTCGCTGACGCTAATTACTGGCCCTCTGTGTAAACCTGCGTGAGTTATTATACCTGATTGTTTAGCTGAACAGCCTATACCTGGGCAGGGCAGAGTGGGGTGGGCGTGGCTAAGATTCCGCGCCCTTGGAGACTCCCAAGAGGAGTCACCAGAAGGACAGACGGATGGGAAGAGAGGAAAGAAGAGGACACCGGGATGGGTTAGCCCGGAAAAAAACAAAAAAAACAAAAAAACAAAAAAAACGCCGTGTCAACCGAGGAAGGACTCCAATCATGGCGTGAAAAGGGCCAGGTGGAGCATATAATCAAGTACCATGGGGTTATGGATCAAAGGTAGTCCAGTTGAGGAGGATTAAGGTGGATGGCACTGGATGGGGCTGGGAAATGGATGGTGAGGATACTGAGACAGTGTAAGGGAACTAGCTTCCCGGCCCAAGGTATATAAGGCAATTAGATAGCTCACAGTTGTCTGTGTCTTGTTATTTCTGATAGCAGGTTAAATTATACCACCGTGATAATCTTAGTGATAATAACAAACATTATATAGCCAAACACCTTTCATTACTTTACAATAACAGTAAATGATAAAAAGCTAAAAAAAAAATATTAGCTAGAACTAAACTTTAGATAATGTATGTGTGGGAAATTTCTGACTGGAACCACAGAAGTTAATAAACATCCCCAAGAACTGAAAAATTGGCAAGCACTCTTGCCAATTTGCGTTCAAAAGCTCCATAGAGCAAAGGAAACTACATAGTGGACAGATGCTGCACAGAACTTGAGAAAATATTTGCCAGCTATATATAAGACAAGGGATTAATATCTAAAATATATAAACTGAAAAAATTAAACACATAACCTGCCAATAAATAAATGTACCAACAAACTGGATAGTTTCTCAAAAATAAGATGCAAATACAAATTGCCAGTAGATATGTTAAAGTATTCTTAAATGTTTTTATCCATCAGAGAAAACCTAATTAAATCTACTTTAAGATTCTGCCTCAACCTTGCCAGGATGGCCACCACCAAGCAAACAAACGCCCAGGGCTGGAGAGATAGAGGGCTCAGTAATTTAGAGCACTGGATGGTCTCCCAGAGGATCTGGGTTCAGTTCCCAGCACCCTAATGGCGGCTCACAGCTGCGTGCTGCTGTCCTTCCGGAAGGATCCAATGCCCTGTTCTGACCTCTGGAGGTAGTGCGTACTAGTGGTGCACAGACAAGACACAATGCACATAAAAAAAAAAAAAAAAAAAAAAAAAAGTGTGACAATAAATGCTGATGGGGATGTGGGGGAAATGAACTCTTATCCACTCCTGGTAAAAAAATACAAACTAATGCGTCTGCTGTGTAAATCAGGGTGGTGGCTTCTCAAAGAAACTAAAAATAGAAGTACCCTACATTGCAAAGCTGTAGCACTCCTGGGGGTACACCCAGAGGAGTCATGTGTTGCCCTCCTACCTGTCCCTCTCTCCTCCCCTCTCATTTTGTTTCTGTTGGAACCTTCTCACAGACTTCTTCCCAACCCCAATATTCATTCTCCCCACCCCCATCCAACAGCTTGCCCTTCACTCCCACTCAGAGCGCTTTTAGAGCTGATTTTACTTCAACCCCGGCACACCCTTCTGCCACCAGGCGCCTCCCTGTACTGAGGTAAAGAGGCAGCTCCAGTCCTGATCCCTAACTCAGGAGAGATGTGAACGTATACCTCAAGAGGCAATTGGTGGCTAGCTTAGCAGCTGAAATCCTGGGCAAAATGAGAAGAGGGAGGAGAGATTGGGGCTTCAGTGAACTCTGTGGGAAGAGGTTATGGGAAGGAGGCCCCGGCAGTAGACACAGGTGCACAGAGAGCTCAGGGAAGAGCACTGTGGGTGACATCTTGGCACCAAGGAAGGAGACTCCTGGAAGGATGGCGAAGTCAATGCAGCGGAGATCTGTGGGGAAGATAGGTAACCCGGGGATGCCACTCAGGTGCCTGGAAATCACATGGTGATTGTGATGAGAAGCAGGGAGAAAATGGGAGGCAACTGACGAAGGTGTTTTTGTCCACAGGGAGATGGCAGAGAGAAGTCTTACACAGAAGGTTGTTGGGATATGGTCAAAAGAATGATGCGTGGTGAACAGTGCCTTGAAGAACTATGAGAAGGGCTCCAGGGAAAAAGACAGAGGCCTTTCACTTCAGGTGCATTCTGTTTCCTGGATTGTCCTGGAATTCAGAGTTCCCAGACAAGGCTGGCCTCGAGCTCACAGAGATCCACCTGCCTCTGCCTCCCAAGTGCTGGGATTAAAAGTGTGAGCCACCATGCCTGGATAATGTGTTTATTCTTGTTGGATGTCGGAACTGAGAAGCCAGTCTGACCAAAGGATGGAATGTTGTCCTCACTGTGCCCTGAATCTGAATATGGTGTCTGCCTTGCGTTTATGCTTTCTCACATATAATTTCTAGTACATGCCAGGCAATTGTGTTTAAATTGGTCTGTCCTGAGAAAGTTCTGAAAAAGGGTTACTCTGTTAATATTTAATATGTTCTTACGATGTTTATTTACATGTTTTTCTGAGCACGAACAACCTTTCTTAAAGCGTTGCTTTCTTTGTTTCATTCGTATATAAAAGTACTGAAACTGTAGTAAGACTGTCTATACATTAGACTGTAATTCACCCCATTCTTTAAGGTCCTCAAATCCCAGGTCTCGCAGAGATCTGTAAAGTTTGGCATAGGTCAACAGAAGATTTGCTGGAGGTGGGGGACGGAAGGGCTAACACCCAGTTTTATCACATTCTTTGGAGAAGACATGAAAAAGTATGGATGGCTGAGTTCATCCAAGGTAAAGGTTCTAAATATCTATAAAGAACAATCTACCTGGCAGGAGTTATCAAACCTTGTTGGAAGGACTCTGCTCTTTGAGGTTGCAGTCCTCCCAGGCCAGATAGCCATTCTAAGCTCCGCCTTAAGGAGCCTTAAGGTCCCTCTCCCCAGGAGGGACTCCCCTCTCTGCCTGACTTATCTGGAGAGTGCCTCTAGACACAGACTCCCCTAACCACATTTGATATATGGCCTTTGACACAGCTCCCTGCTGGCTCTCCCCTCACTGTGTCTGATAATTAGGTACTGTGTTCCCATTCATGTGATAGGAGTGTGCTGTTTAATGCAAACCAAGCATCTTTGAAGTGCCTGGTTCCAACCAATTATGTACACCTATCCTTAGAGCCCCCCACTCACTCCCCAAAGGGCATATAGCCTTTGTTCTCTGAAACTAAAGTTGAACTAGCTCCCTGAAGTGGCTCCCAAGGAGTATCTGGTCTTTGTCGTGCTTGCCAGCCTTCCAAGCTCTTTGCCTCATCTGCCCCTCCTCTCTTCATGAGCTGGTGAAAAACAGCCACCACCACCACCACCCCCAGCCAGGACCATGAGTCCTGCTGGAAATTTAAGCTACATGTGCTCAACAAATGGAGCACAGTGGTTAATTTTGCCTTCATCCTCCTAGCAAGATGCCTACACTGTGCCCCTCACATCCCTTTGTAGCTCTGGCTCCAGGAGATCTGACGCCCTCCTCTGGACCCTGCAGCACCTGGGCTCATGTATGAGCACCCCTCCCACATATAATTAAAAATACATCTTAAAACAATTGCTAATGCCTCGTGATTTTAATGCCAACTTAAAGAAACAAAGATTGCAATTGTCATGAGTAGGTCTGTCCTATTTTCTTAAAAATAGTTTTGTGCAGGGGCCAGAAAGATGGCTCAGCAGTTAAGAATCCACTTTTCCTGAAGCCCAGAGTTCAGTTCTCAGTATGTACACCAGGTAACTCACAACTCCAGGTACAGGAGAGGATCTAAAGTCTCTGTCTTCTAAGGGCACTTGCACTCATGTGGGAATACACCCACCTAAAATTAATTTAAAAAATTGTAAATGTTTGTTCGTCCATACACATACATTAAGCAGACATTTGTATTTTTTCCCCCTACTCCTTTACCATGAATCACAATGTTAACTGCAATTGTCACATCGTAGGTATCACAGGGTAATTAAGTTTTGTAAACCTGTATTATCATTTTTACATTAAGGTCACTAAAAAACTATTCCTCAAGAGGCTTTTCCGTCAATACAGTGGAGGGGAGTAATTAGCATCTTATTGGCTGTGTGATAGTTACATCAGGTGGACTTCTGACTTTGTTACTGTGTTGATTTAGACAAATTACCCATGAGGAAGGGGATGTGGCTGGGACCCAGCTGACAAAGGGTAGTCTTGTGGTAGGTAATTTTGATTGCAAATATGACAAGACCTGAAACTAAGAGGCAGACTTCCAGCTAAGTAGGTGAGGACATTTCCAGAAAAAGAGTGGAAAGCCAAGGGGGGAAGATCTAGGGTGGCGCTCTCTAAAGGGTGGCACAGTCGCAGAAATGTTGGAGGAAAAAAGTGTTACATGCCCCTGCCTGCCTTTTGTTTTCTGCACATGAGTGAATCCATGTTTTTTGTTTTTTGTTGTTGTTTTTGTTTTGACAGGTTTTCTGTGTAGCCCTGGCTGTCCTGGAACTCACTCTATATACCAAGCTGGCCTAGAACTCAGAGATCCACCTGCCTCAGCCTCCCGAGCTCTGGGATTAAAGGCGTGTGCTCCACCACCTGGCTGAGCGCATTCATCTTTAACAACATTATAACTGCTGCTTCTTTGCTTTCCATTGTGAAGTGAAGACCAAACTTTCAGTCCTTCAACCAACAGCCTGGGACTGCTGAGGCATACAGTTTCATAGACGGTGCAGTTACTGTGTTCTCTCCAGTGTGCAGATGGCCACTGTTGAACTTTCCAGGCCCTGTTGATTGTAAACTACTCCAACAAACTGTGTGTGTGAGCGCACATATTATTGGCTTTGATCTGTAGAAGGCTACCTGACCAGGAGGACTGGAAGGAAGCAGCTGGACTTTGATGTAGACAGGAAGGGGGCCCTGCGAGGACTCGGAATGACAAGAGTGGATAAAGATTTTGCAAGGAAAGGGGGCTTGAATCAGCGGCACTGGAGGTGGTACCCGTACAGGTGACGTGGAAATGTAAAGTGTGACTCTGACAACAGGGAACCAGTTCAGCATGGAGCAAGGGGTGCTGGGAATGAGGTGAGAATGGCGACAAAGGAGCCACTCTTAGGAAATGTAGCCACTATAGGAGAGGTCAGATTTGTTCCCAGTGAAAAGTGTCAGGCTGGGATGCAGTTCAGCGGCTGAGAGTTTACTTCATTCCATTACCGAAAACAAGAACAAAAGGCCCAGCTATTGCTCAATAGACAATGGAGTCCATGGATGTGTCTTGAGGGTAGAGAGCAAGATAAAAAGGAATAGGGCTTGAGTTTAAGGGAGGAGATATTACTCACACCTCTCCTGGCCTTCAGTGTCCCTGAGACTGGACATAGGAGGATCATAACTCATTGCTGAAGGGCAAAAAATGGCAGTCCAGGGAGGTACAGATACTAGCCCAAGGACCACAAGAATGGCCAGGCAGGGGCCAGGCCTTGGACATGCTGCCCTGAGGCCTCAAATCTATCAGTGGAAACACATCTACCCTGACACCCTGAGACCCACCTACTGCCACACTCACCATGGCCAAATGACCCCAAAACCAGTTTGGTTTAGGGGGCTGCGGGAAGCAGCGAAGGCGGCAGCAGTAGTCGTGGAAGGCATAGATCCAGGCCAGAATTCGGGCTAGAATCCAGGAGGCCCCACCAAGCAGCAGGAGATGCCATAGGGAGGCAGCCACGGGCCCCAGGCCAAGCCAGGGCAGGCTCAGCTGTAGCATCCTGCAGGGCAGACAGATATTGGGTGAGGCTCAAAGGCTCAGGAGAGGGATGGAGCCCGACAGGTTTACTGGATAGGAACATATATATATATATATATATATTCCTAGATATATAGAGAGACCGGGAGGGTGTGGCAGCAGAGCAGGGAGAAGTGCAAAGAATAGACACAGAGAGAAGAGGAAGAACTGGAGAGGAAGGGACAGCAGACAGGAACTGAAGCAAAGAGCCTGGGAGCAATTACCAGGAGAACGAAGGTCTCCAAGGCCTGCTGACTCCCTTTATCCAACCTGGTCCACCTCCCTGTTCCTAGCCCGAACTCTCCTTGCTGCCTCCCATCCTGGCACCTTTTCTCAGGAGCTGCGAGTCTCCATGACCTCCTGTCTTCCCTGTTTTTGTCCCTGGCTTCTGACCTGCCGGAAGCAGGGCTGGGCTGAAGCTGCCAGTCCATCCGGGCCCTGCTGCAACTTCCCTTGGTGCCTGGGCAGGCAGCCAAGAATGTGGGCTCAGGTCCAACCTTAAACTGAAGGATCAGACTGAGAGTCACAGGCTCAGTCAGGTATGGGAGCTTCAGGATTTAATAACTTCCTTCTGAACGTACCTGTCCTCGAAGGCTAAGGGGTGGCAGATAAAGCCCCCTAGCTCCTCGGCGCAGCGGTGTGGGGGATGACTCTGAAATGCCCCCGCCCACCAGCTGCACAGCCTGGCAGAGATCAATTTCTTCCTTCTCGCCCCAGCTCCTGGGTGAACAGACGACTTCCTGAGCAGGAACAAATCATGCAGCCCTGTGGAACCTTCTGGGTCAGAGTCTAAAGACTAAGCTCACCCAGAGGCTGAGGCATCAGAGGTCAGAGGGGAAGTATGGGGAGAGAGGTCAGGCTAAGAGCGGCTGTGGGCAGAGGAGGTGCAAGCAATGGAGGGCTAGCCGGGCATGGCCTGATGTCATAGATGCTCACTAAATATCGAGGGTCAGACAACTTCTATTTTATGTTTATTTTATTTTGTCGGTTGTGTTTGGTTCTAGCCACATGTCTGGGCTATCCAGGCTCTGGTTCCTGGTCCTCCAGGCCGTGTTAGGCATGTGCTCTGTCTTATGGCATTGGTCCCACGTTGGACCATTCCCTCAGGTTTTTTGCCACCTTTGTACCAACACATCTTACAAACAAGACAACCTGTGGGTTGAAGGTTTCTTGGCTGGCTTGGTGTCCCAGTCACTATAGTGGAAGCCTCGCCTGGTTATAGAAGATGGCCAGTCGGGTTCTCTGTGTTCCATTACTAGGAGTTTTCTCTAGGGCCAGCCTTGTAGATTACTGGGAGTCTCCCCAACACTAGGTTTCTACCTTGCCCCCTCCAACGCCCCCGTTCCAGTCATTTCTCCCTCCCCCTCCCACCTCTTCGTCTCTCTGCCAGCCCCCAGTCTACCCCTGGAATCTATCCTATTTCCCCTTCCAAGGAAGATCCATGTGTGTCCCTCTTGAGCCTTCTTTAGCATCTCTGGGTTTGTAGACTGTAGCATGATTATCCTTTGCAGCTAATATCAACTTATAAGTGAGTCCATACTATGGCTGCCTTTCTGGTTCTGGGTTACCTCACTCAGGGGTCAGACAACTTTTGGAGCCATGAGGAAGATCACAGTTTCAAGATCAGCCTGGGGTTTGTGAGAGAACTTATTTCACACACACACACACACTTTGTAGGTGGGGGCATCAGAGGGATAGGGAGGAGGTTGGGGACAGGGAGCTTCACACAGAGACTTGAGGGCATATCCAGGGCAATTCAAATTGGGAAATTCATCACCCAGTTTCCCTCTTTTTGAGTCTTCTACTCTCCTCCTCCTGTCCTTTCGAAGTTCCCTCCATCCCTCCTTTCTTTACTTCTAGGTTGGTTGATGATAACTTAGGAAAAAAAAAAAACCTGACAAGCATTAATCATTATGAACTGGAGGAAAAAAAAAGACTTAAAGAAGAGTCCTTTGGGTGATCTGGAGAGATAGATGGCTCAGTGGTTCAGAGCACTGGATACTCTTCCAGGGGTTCGATTCCCAGAGCTCATGGTTCACAAACACTACAGGATCTGATGGCCCATGGGATCTGATGCCTCCTTCTGGTGTGCAGGTGTACATGCAGACATTAACACCCGGATACATAATAAAATGATAATTTAAAAAGAAGGATCCCTTGGGAAATGCGACCTTGTGAAAATCAGACCCTTCCCACCTGGCAGCAAACCATGCTTCCTTTCCCACTGAGCATTTTCTGTGTCTGCTTGGTTGAATGATATCACCCAGCTATTTAATAAAAAGGACATCTAGGCATGGCTGTGGGAGGGCTTTGTAGTTTGCGTTGGTGTTGGTGGATCTCATCGGGTTGATTGAAGAAAGAGAGCCATTGCAGTACTTCTTAGTGGCAGGGGGAGCAGCCTGTGTGGGACCAGACCTGACAGCTTCCTAGAAGCTTTTAAAATTGTTGTACAAAAGCAGGTCAATTTCTGCGTACCAAAACAAACTTAAAGGAATATTTATTTCTGCTCATACTTTCAGAAGCTTATGCCATAGTGAGCTGCTTTTATCGGTCTGGGTATCTGGTGAAGCAGACCGTAATAGTAGGGAACCCATGATGGTAGGAAACATCTCATGGTGGCTGAGAGCAAGGAGAGCAGGAGCTGGGGACTCCATCATCTCCTCAGGGGCATGCCACTGAAATCCAGTTTCCACCCCCTGCATCTCAGCCTCATCTTTTACAGCTCCTACCTCCACATGGTGCCCCCAGCTCAGGACCACGCCTGCCTGGGACACAGGGGCCTTTGGAGAATGTGCTAGCATTTGTCAACCTGACACAAACCAGCATCACCTGGTAGGAGGAAACCTGTGCTGAGGAAATGCCTCATCATGTTAGGCAGTGTCTGTGTGACATTTTCTTGACTGTTGATTGACCTAGGCAGGCCCAGCCCATTGTGAGGTGGTTGTCTGTGACGTACAAAAAGGGGAGCTGACTGCAAACCTCGAGATCAATCCAGCAGCAGCTTTTGCTCCTGGGTCCTGGCTCTGTTCCTGCTTGAGTTTCTGTCCTGACTTTCTCAAATGATGGACTGTGATTGGGATATATAATTCAAATAAATCCTTTCCTCACCACAATTTGGTTCTGGATGGTGTTTTATCACAGCAGCTAAAAGTAAGTAGAACAGCACACACTTAAGAGCCAAATCAAAAACTAAAACACAGGGCTCATAATTCAGTTCAGTTGGTAGGTTACTTGTGCAAGCCTGCACAAGGTCTTGAGGGTCAAGCTCCAGCAGCACACGAAGCCAGACATCTATCTGACACAAGCTAGGCTTGGAGGAGAGGTCTGAACTGAGAAAATGCTCCCATCAGATGCTCACAAAGACTCAACAAAGAAAGAAAATTTCAGGCCAATCTCCCTTATGAACATTGATGCAAAAATACTTAACAAAATACTTGCAAACCGAATACAAGAACACATCAAAGATATTATCCACTATGACCAAGTAGGCTTCATCCCAGGTATGCAGGGATGGTTCACTATACGGAAATCCATCAATGTGATCCACCATATTAACAAACTGAAAGAAAAAAAACACATGATAATCTCCCTAGATGCTGAAAAAGCATTTGACAAAATTCAACATCCTCTCATGTTTAAAGTATTGGAGAGTTCAGGAATACAAGGCACATATCTAAACATAGTAAAGGCGATATACAGCAAGCCTATAGCCAACATCAAACTGAACGGAGAGAGACTTAAAGCAATCCCACTGAAATCAGGGACAAGACAAGGCTGCCCACTCTCTCCATATCTCTTCAACATAGTGCTGGAAGTCCTTGCTAGAGCAATATGACAGTTGAAGGAGATCAAGGGGATACAGATTGGAAAGGAAGAAGTCAAATTATCACTATTTGCAGATGATATGATAGTATACATGAGTGACCCCAAAAACTCTACCAGGGAACCCCTACAGCTGATAAACACCTTCAGCAAAGTAGCCGGATACAAAATTAATTCAAAAAAAATCAGTACAATGGCCTACAATGGTCTGTAGGCCATTGTTTTGGTCAATGACTGTTGTGCAGTGCCCAGCCTACTGGGCAGGTGGGTCCTGGAGGTACAAGAAAGCAGACTGAACAAGCAATGAGGATCAAGCTAGTGTGTGGTTACATCTACAATTGTCTCGGGGGATTGGCATGCCCCCTGACTCGAGTGAATGAATGGCTTCAAGAACAGCTGACAGCTTCCTCCCACAGACGGGCACCGCGGTGGGCACGGCAGCACACAAGCTCACAGAGCTCCAGTGGTGACTTCGGTGGCTCTGTGGCAACTGCCTGGCTAGCAGTCAAGCCAGTGATGAATTCTTCAGGAGGAAGAGAGCCCCTTCTTTCTCCAGTGCTGCAGCTCAGCGGAACAGCCAGGCCCAGGCGTCCCTTTGCCGAAGCAGACGGTGTCTGCCCGGCTGAAGGGAAGCAGCATTTTTGGTGGGGCCTGTTTTAATCAGTCCTAACATTGGTGGGCCGCAGCTATGATGGGGAGAGAACGAGGAGAGCCTGCTTTTCCTTCCTGGCTGTTTTTATTCCAGGTGAGAGAAGCACCTTGGGCCCACGAGTAAGGGCTGTAAATATTACCTGTGACTATGCGTGGTGCTATCTGAAGCGCGGACTCCCAAAATGAGGAGATTGGGGTTTTCTCGAGTTTTATGCCAGGAGTCACTAAGAAGATACCTGTCTCCCTTACCTGAGGGTTTTTTCTGTGTGCTGAATTGTTCCCCATGATAGATAAAAACAGGAAGTGATGCTTGTGATTGTCAACTTTCCTGAGGCAACTTTAATTTTCTCGGGGGATTGGTACTGACCACCTACCACAAATCTGCTCGCAGATTTGAGAGGCCGGCAGCCAGCTAATGACACATGGCCCATGAGTTGTTATTGGTTTTTTTCTTGGTGAAATGGACGGTGCTCACTGCTTTATTTCATGTGAAACAGGGCCTTATAAACCTTGGGCAGAGAGGGGAGTTTTTGAGGATGAATGTGCCTCATTGGCTGGGACTTAGGAAGCTGGCAATGCTCTATTTACACGGGGAAAGATAACAGATGACAAGCTTATGTGGCCACCGCGGGTTGTGTCATGTGCTCCTGAGGCAGGCACAGAAATAGAGAGAGCTTTGTCCTATACCATCTATTCTCAGGATGAGATTTTCAGTCTCAGGTTTGAGACTGCCAGGGTTGGGACATGCTCCATCTTGGCAGTTCCATGCCAGCTCCTCTGGAGGCAAGGTCTACGGGCCCCCCAGTCAGCAGCACTCTTCCATGGCCTCCTCAGTTCCTGTCCTGACTTCCCTCAGTGATGGCATGTAAACTGAGCGCTATAAACTGAAGGAAAGTCTTTCCTCCTCGTGTTGTTATTGATCATGGTGTTTTTGACAGTAATAAAAATCCTAAGACACGCCTAACTGCAATGACAACATTCAGGAGATGGACATAGGAGGATAAGAACTCCAAGGTTAATGGCCAGCTAGATGTCTCCACTGGTGAGAGTACACATCACCAAACCCGACAACTAGCGTTTGAGCTCCAGGACCCATATTACTGAAGGAGAGAATGCCTACAAGTTGTCTTCATACCGTCAGTCGTGTGCCCTGGAATGTCCTTGTACAGGAAAATGGGCACCCGAGCGCGCGCGTGCACGCGCGCGCACACACACACACACACACACACACACACACACACACACAAATTGTAATAAAACCATAATGTTCAAGACAGAGAGAAAATTAGTGCAAGG